TTTTGGCCACCAATGACGGAAACATCTGCTCTCAAGAAAACTATGCCTCGGCCTCGTTTAATACATGCGCTGGTTTTATGAAGTCTCGCCCTTTTCGAGAAATGATAAATCAGTTAAAGAAATAGCCTTGGAGAAGGTAAATCATAAAATAAGCTTTATGTGTTAACACAGGTTTTTAGGAGCACAAACGTATAACAGCAACTTTAGTTTAATATGGTGAGTTTTGGCATCCCTTGAGTATAAAATTTAGTGATGGCGGATAGCAAGCTTAAAGATATGAAAAGCAAATACGCTCAAATACACTCGGAAGAATTTTTTCTTTATATTTGTATACTACTTGGACACACTTATTTTTATCTTAAAAAGAAAACTCGCTTTTTTTCGCTTTGGTTCAGTTCATTCAGATATAAAGATATTGTGACTTGACGTTTCTAGGTTAAAACTGATCTGCTTTAAATGTCGACGAAAAAGGGCATTGTCTTTGCAAAGGCGATTCTTTTTTATTCATAGTTTTTCTTGGATATCAGCGTTGAATCGTCGTTTTTGGAGTTGAGAGCATTTCTAACCACGATAGCGGCCGGCAACATTGACAAGAACGTCGAAAAACAATAATAGGTCTTAAAAGCAAAATTACTCACATATACTCATTCTACACCTTTTGTTGTATTTCTTTGACGTCTATACGACTTGGATTGATAAACTTTCTGGTGCAACGTATTTACACGCGGAAATATTTCTTTTCTTTTACCTTTTGAATTTGGATGCAGTCCTTGAGAATTCAACTCCAGGGTAATTCACCATCATTTGAGACGTTTTACCTGCCGTGTAACTTCAGCATCGAGTACAGACTTGTTTTAAAAGCCAATAGACTGAGTAACTTAGGTCCGGCTATCTGTTTTTGACGAAGTACACATGTGCCAAATCTAATGCAAATGAGCTAGGACTCGATAGAACAATAGTTTTTGCTTAAATCATGCCCATTGGTAATCATTCGATTTAAATGACACATGTGAAATTTGACGTTTAAAATAAGCCTAAGATAACATTAACCAACAATAATTGAATGAGACTGAGTAGGATGTGAAAAATTATGCAGATCGAGGAGGGTGTTATCCACCTCGGCCTTCATTCTCCGTGAACATCCTCCGAGATCTGCATAATTTTTCCATTCATACAAAAGCTGAATTCATAACTGTTTTATTATTCATTCAAAATATTTCTAGGTTATGTACAGATAACATTCATCGAGCAATATCTTTTGCGTATTTTTGCATTTCTTCCATTCAGTTTAAGCCAGAAATTCAGCTATTTTGTCTTCGAATTACATAGCCTTGTTTCCAATAAAATAGTATACTATCGATCAGCCTCGTTTCCAATCAAATACACCATTGAATCCATGGTATATTACTCGCATCTTCCAAATTTGGTAAGCGCCGGTTGGTTATGAAGAATTAGCCGGGAGATTGGAGCTGATCAGAGACAGAGAAGTATTTTTAAATGAATAATAAGTACAATTATTTTGAAAACAACAAATTTAAACATAGGCAAGCCAAGAAAGATATGCCACCACGCCGAACATCTGTTCGGCTATTCACACGTTTTCTTTTGTTCGTTCTTGACAATGTCGTGGCCGATAATAGGGCCATTTATACGAGGAAAAATAAGGGCCTGTTTACATGGAGTGGGGGACCCCGGTCTAGTGGGGTTGGTTTCTTTTGTTTTCACGCTCTGGAGGACACAAAACAAAAGAAACTTACCCCACTAGACCGGGGTCCACCACGTCATGTAAACAGGGTCTAAGACGCGTCTTACATAAGACGCGTCTTAAATAAGACCCAAACTGTACCATTTATACGAGCTTGTCTTCTCTAATAAGACGCGTCTTAGCTAAGCCGCGTCTTATTTTAGACGAAATGTGCCGTTTATACGGAAAGTTCGCGTCTTATTTAAGACGCGCCTTATGTAAGACGCGTCTTATTTTTCCTCGTATAAATGGCCCTAATGTCTTTTCTCAAAAATTGGTTGGAATGATGCATAGCTGATCACTATGTATTCGAAAAATAATTTTCTAAGTACCTGTAAACACCGACAGGCTAAATTTCGTCGCTTTCTTGTTATTTGTTGATTCAAGCAACTGTTTCTTTTTTACGCTCAATTTTCGTCTTCCAGTGTTATCCCGAACCGGATACAATACTGCTCCTGTACCAGGCAGTTGTTTACCATTTACAAAAAGTTTTCGTTTCTTGTCGTTCCAATGAAAAATTCCTGGGAGCAACTGAACATCGGAAAAGTTAGACCTGTTTTTCGGACCGAATGTTCCAAGAGGAAATTCGTGTTTCATTAGTCAAAAGTTATCTTTGATACCAGTTTCAGCGGAACTGATTTGTGCAAATGATAAACACGATTCCACGATAAATATTACCAGTCCTGAATTCTTCTTACCATTTTCCCAAACAGTGTACCGACCGGTTTGCTCGTGTAAATGGTAAACAACCAGTGTATTTGGATTTTTCAAGTTTTTGGAGTCAATCAAAACGCGCGAACATTGCTATCGACTGATTTCATGTTCAATTTTCTCTCGGAACTAACGAACGTCCGTTGAGAAATTGAGAACAGAATTTTTATGGGAAAAACAAGTAAAATTTCTTTCTGCATAAAGGACTTGGTTAGTGTGGAGACAAAATAGTGAATACTGTAAGCTACCCTTACAATGTCTGTAAAACTAAAACTGTTGATCAGTCTGACAGGCCTTGTAGTTGCGTGATTTAATACAAATTACTTCCGCGTTCCGTGTATAACTTCGACAAGCAATAGATAATCGTGAGATTATGCGGCCGCAGATATTCGAGACAAAACTAACATTAAATCTAAACCAACTACTGTTTCTGAATTCGTAGCTTTTATAGCACCCATTCCTCCGCCTACATTCTTGGCGAATGAGCTTAAATCATAGTAGAGCATTGGCGAATGGCCGGCTGCAGAGTGTGGCTTTCGCTGATTGGTTCCTTTTCTCTTCCCTCTGCTGTGTATGTCCTCAGGTCAGCTTCAATGTTATTTAATCAGAATTAACTACACAAAATATATTGTTATTTTTAAATGCCGAAAATAGCGGACCCCTGAGAAAGCAAGCTTTAGGTTGCCTTACGGAATCGCGGATTCTCAAGCTACGTCCACACGAATCCGGTTAAAACCGCATACTTTTTACACGAATCAGCCCTCCGACCACACGAAACAAGTGAATCCGGACACCGAAACCGCCTTGCTTTGAAAACCAATCAAAAACTGCCAAGCGTTCTTGATTTGTTTTTTTTTTTCATTATTTACCAGTGGTTTCGATTGGTGGTAGATAATTAATTCGTAGCATCGAAACCATAATTAGAAAATGACTCACTCTCGCAAGATTGTAACAAGTTTGATTTAAAGCGGAAGTTTCAAGGTTGCAAAAGGTTTTTTCAACTGGTGAACATATTCTTCTCTCAGGTAGGAATCCGTTTATTCTTATATTACTATTTTGATTCGAAATAGCAAGGACGGCTTTCTGAAACACCACATGACTGACACGTAAGAAGTTACTTTCTTCGCTTAAGGACGACTGAGAGAATTAGACGGGGAAAAAATATTCTATTTTAAATAAATAGATAAAGAAATAATTAATTATAGGCACATAACAATCCACCTGTTCTGTCATGCTCCTGGTTTCGTTCAGGTGCCAAGTTAATGATTAGTAAAAGAAGCTAAGGCAGTTTTGAAACATCAGTTTGGTCATGCTAACGAGCGGAAACAGCCGATTGATTCCCAGAATCATCCCAAAATGTAAAGAATCTAGTAACTCCCGTCCATACAAACAACATCGCGGTCTCCTTGCAAACTAACTTTATAATATTTAGTCCTTTGATACAAAGCTACACATAAGCTTTATTGACTACGCTCATTATTTACGTCATTCGTTCACGGAAAGTACTGCCAGTGGAACCCCGTTAATACGGTCACCAATGGGCCAAAAAAAATTGGCCGTATTAACGGGTGACTGTATTAACGAGGGCTTTTTTACATGAAAATGTACGGCCGTTTTGCCAGGCGGCCAAAATAAAGTGATCGTAATAGTGAGGTGACCGTATTGCCGAGGTTGTCGTAAGGCGGGACTTCGCTGTAAACAGAATTTGTAAAGTGTAACTACTACGTGCTTTTTACGCTAATTGCGCACTTCAAATGCGTATGATAATGGCTTGTTTGTTTCTCAGGAAGAACAAATTAGTGCATTCAGGCGTTAATATAAAAACAACGCAAATAATGTGAAATGTGTTTGTTTTATCGAGGAAGTTCATTCTGACTCTGGGGACTGATAAGGAAATAGTATGAAGTTTGAAAGTATGGTATTTATAAAAAGTAAAGGAGGAAATAATCACAAACATTTTAAAGTCCATACTCAAATATCTACCTCAAAATGCCGTCACTTTTACCTGGTGTCTGAAGTGGGTCAACAGAGTTAGAGAATTTCCTGCTAGCGTTTTCAACAGGAGTCAACATTGTGACCCAGAATTAGCAACTGCGGACGCTCTAATCCTTGAGCTTAGAACGATGGTTTCTCATTAGGACCTCAATGTGTGAATGACACTAGAGATATGTTCTCGTATGTAGGTGACCAGTTTCCTTTTACTACGATCGACAACCAAATCTTGGTATTAGCTTGGTATTCAGAGTGGTAGCCTACGAGGGTCCTTTTGTTGTAGTTTGTGTATTGCTACCCTACTCAACAGACCCACTCATAAAACTTGATCATGGAACTACGGCTTTCAATAAGTTGAAAGAGCTGTACCTTTTGGAGAGAGTACGGAAGGTACTATCCTAAATGGGAGTAAACCAACGCTGTTCTGCGGTAGAAGTCTACCTTATCACTGAAAAAGTAGAAGAAATATCTTTGCAAAACAACCGGAAAACTAAAATGTAAGGTGCATGCGTGAGACTTCGCCAAGGCAACAAGAGTTGACAATCCTGACTGAAATAAAGAGGAAATCCCGTAAATGAAAGAAGAGACTGAATGGCTCACATTGCTGTCTTAAAAACTCTTCTTTTTCCAGTAAGAGAAGACACCGGTTACCCTCATAATTATAGACCTTAGGATACTGACATCAACATTTGTAGCTGACCTCGGGACACAGAGTGGCGGAGTGTCATCACTCCGGAGACAGAGTGGGGTATTCAGAGAAGAACACTGAGCTTGTCAGGAACGGATCACAAGTTTTTCAGGTAGTATAAAAGTGAGCTAATTTGGCTCTGCTTGACTCTCTGTCGAAAAAAAGAAGAAAATTCACGCCCAAGGAAGAGTTCAGTCCCAAAAAACCTCAACAAAAAAGTGACTCCCAAACAATGGAAGATATAACGAAAGACAAATGCTTGTGGCTATAACTGGGAAGCGTCGTTAGCTGCAAACTGGCCATATTGCGGATTACTAAGCTGATTACAACATAACAAAACACTGCAAGGAGCTAGAAGAAGTGAACAAACAATGAGAGAGAGAGTGTTGAGAAACAACCTTCAGCACAGGCGCAACCTCCTCTACCGCCACGGCTCCCACCATACAATCCGTCAAGGAGGAGCGTAAAGCTCTTGGTAAGGAGGGAAGACGCCGTAAGGGAGTTGCAATAATAAATTAGAAGCCTGCACAAGAAGAGAAGACATTATTAAAGATATTAAATTCAGAAGAGGCCGGGATAAAGTGAGTCTTTGGACAGTTGACCGAGAAAAAACATAAAACATAAGAAGCATTATCTAATTAGGAAAAAAGAGCAATGCAAAGAAAAAACGCGGATCAGCACATGTCGGATTCTGGGAAACTGCTCATGCGTTAACACGTATTTTCACTTTTCAACCGGACCAAAAGCGAAACCCAAGCGAAATAACTAGAAGGTTTGTCTAGGTAGTATCAAGAGAGTTCTCTCTTGGTAGTACTTCAGTAAACGTATTCAATTTATAATTAAAATGTGTGCATATGTGTTAGTCGTGAGAGGCCAATTTTCGCTAATTATTTTATGTTACTCGTTGCATGTTTCAATATTTATGAATAATGAAAAATTTGTACATTTTGCGTGATCAAAGAATAAAGCTTTAATAAAACAAAAATATTTACGTTGAGTATTAATCCTTATTATATGAATCTAGGCAGGAAGGGATTCTAGCTGTGCTGGGTCACTGTTCTAGTCTGCTCAGTGTATCTGCTTCACAGCCGTTTTCATAGTACTGTTCCAGATCAGGCAGAAATCATAATCTATGTTTTGCTACTGACACATGTAAGTCATAGGACTAAATCAAGGGATTAAATACAGCCGATAGAATTCAGTATACTGCAGTAAAACTACTGGATCTTGCTCAAGAAACTGTCTAATAAAATCATGGCATGCAAACTAAGTTCTCAGTGCTTATTTCACAAAGCGTTTTTACAGCAAGCAGTGCACATTGCAATTAGGTTTCTGCAGGTTGCGCGTACAAGGCATGATTTCCAGGAGCGGTGTCAAACTGTGTTCTGATCTGTGCGACGGAGAGTTTGTCGTTATTTTCGACCTTTGACCGGAAATAATGGCTAATAAAACAATTATTAGATCTGTGTTTTTTTATATCCTTTCGGCTCTGCTGATAACACTTACCTTGACCTTGATTATTCCGGATATCACCAAAACCTCATCCAATAATTTCGTCCTTCCAATGTTGGTGTCGAGATGACGCCTGTGGATTTCCCGTTTTGAGAGATCATATATACTTACTAAAATGTCACCAGCTATTTAAGTTAACGACTGCCCGTAAAGCGGTTTAGTCGGGTCATTTCAGTTTCCTGACTGGGATCAACTAACTTTTATATACCATTTTTCACAAAAAAGGTAACATAGGATATATAGGGGTATACAGGGTATACCCCTTTCACATACCTTGTTTACAACTTTGCATCTCTTTTAACTGCTGTAAATACACTGTCTTTTAAATAGGAATCAGTCACAAAAATAGAACAATTTCCCGTCTTTATAAAGTCATAAAATTCATCTCTTCGGCCCTTTGGGCCCTTTTACAGACCCAAATGACAGATTCCCTACCCTTTTATATACTTCAACGAGTAAAATCCCGACCCTTTTATATACCTGAAGCCTAAAAAAGGTACCCCTTTCGGGCGGAGCCTCCCCGTATGGGCCAGCTATGGGGAGTACCCCCTTCCCCCGGAAGTTAAACCGATACCGAGTCGAGGAAGCAGAACAAAGAAAGGGAGAAACATTTCTGCTATTTTAATGTCAAACAGTTGTTACTGTAGTTGTTGTCATTGTTGTTACTGAAAAATCACTTACAACTAATTGTGAACTCAAAGTCGCCATAAAGGTAAAGAAACTTTTAGTGCATTATATAATGGTTATTGCTAGGTATTTTATCTTTCGATGTTTTGAGGAACTGTTCTTGAGCAATTTTGCAGCATAAACCGTGACACCATACCTCCGAAAGTGTTAAAAGCGTACAAAAGCTGCAGTTCATAGATATCCCAACGAAGGTGGTACCCAAGAAAGTTTTATACGGAGAGGCTCCACCCCGAAAGTCCAACCCCTTACCCTTTATGGCCCTTCAGTTATGTACCCTTTTTCACAGAAAAAATACCGCTTCCTTATACCTTTCACTGACAAATGGTAGCCCTGGCTTTCACATACCTGCAGTAACCTAGGTTAGAGCTTTGCATCGGCTTTTAACTGCTGTGAATGCGCCTTCTTTTAAAAACCCGGGTTAGGGTCACACTTAACTAAAAAAATTTCTCGACTTTTTCACAGCCACAAAATTCTTCTGTAGCCCGTTTAGTAACATAATTTTACAAACCGAAACACCATATTTCCCTACTCTTTCATATACTTCAACTTTCGAAATCCCTGCCCTTTCATATACTGTGCCCCTTTCGGGCGGAGCGTCGTCCCCATATAGGGATTCTCCTCCGGGTTAATATTCCAGTTCAGTATACCGGAGTATACGGCGTAAAACATGTTTTGAGCAGATTTTAAATAAGAGCGGAAAAGGCCAATTGATATTCTTCTCAGCATGACCAGTTATTTCGTGCTTATCGCTTACGCACGACAGGGTTTCTTACTTTAATAATCGGTAAAGGGGTCGATAGTAAATAAGTAGAGGATGTCGCTCGTTTTGAACAGACTCCAAATGATACTTTTTGACGCCAGCGTCAAGGACCTCTTCCCAGGATCGACTGAAACAGTTGCACTGACAGTACCGTAACACTTGCTTGCAGTGACAAGGTAAACTGCCGAAACGAAAGCTAGTCTTTGTAGCCTGTTGGCTGAGGCGTAAATGAGCGGCCAAAACGAAAGAAGGGTGTTTTAATATGCCCTTTTCCAAATATGATATAATAAATTTTGTGATTGCAGGCCGAAATTACTTGAACATTGCTATGCAGAACAACTTTTACAAAGTTATCACGAAAATGGCTACCATGAACGATCCGCTAGCAGGGGACCTTGCAGAGAAACAACGATGCATTTTTCTTTAATAACTTTCAGGTGTCTTGCATGTCTAAAAATTATTCTTTTTACTTGATCTAAGAAGGGGTATACTTCTTCAGCTCCTTTTTTTCTGATTTGGGGTCCCAACCATGCAGCTGATTAATGCAATGTCCGCTTGGATAAACAGAGGCGAAGTGAAGCCTGATCTTGGTGTAAATCAGAACCAAAAATGTAGAACTGCAAGCTTGATCGAAGGGCTGCATTGAACGATTCCACCCCGGGGGTGTACTCTTCGCTATTCTTGGTGTGGGTGTGCCGCCCGGTTCTCCATATCCTGGCCCTATTTTCGACAAAAACATTTTGGTTTCCAAGTTTTACTTAGTTGGCGAACCCACGACCTTGACAAAGTATCCAGTAGTTTTTGAACCTGAACATTCTGTTAGGTAAAGATATTTGACACACTCTTGTCGCTTACCCTATTTCACACCACAACGGCCGAAATGTATACACATTTTCAAAAACGGCTCAAAAACTCTACCCTTAGGGGCGGTACATTCCAATATTGCTTACCTTATTATCACTTATTTTCACGCGACTTTAATTTCGCGAATTTGGAATAGAAATACTTCGCGGTATTTAAATTTCGCGATTCTGAAGAATCATCATTTATCAAGGTAATTAAATTTCGCGAATCAAGTAAACTGGTGGTCGTTTTTTTACACTCCCATTTCCATAACGAATAGAAACGCAACAAACAACTGGTTGAAATGTTCCACAATGTCAGTAACATAACATCTTTTAAAAGTGCACTGTGACCAACGGAGCGGCATAGCCTGCAGTGCAGGCGTATTTTGGGTGGGCGAAACATTGTTCGTGTTAGTATTGTTGCAGCCGCCATCTTCGATTTTATGACAGTGAAAGATTGGGGAGAGTAGAAAGAGTTTCAACATGGCGCTTTCGCGAGCAAAAACATTTGCGCGCCCGAAGAAAACGCCTGCACTGCAGGCTAACCGAGGCACTAATCATTCAGCAAGATAAGGGAGATGAGTCAGATAATGAGAAATAAGGACATACGGTGAACGTAAATTTGAGCCATCCTACTCGTATGTATTCCTAGCAGACGGAAAAACTTAAATAGAGTTTTAAAACTATATATATGGGTCACTAAATTTCGCGTCTTTAACTTGCGCGGCACCGTTTTTACGCGAAATTTTTTGAAAATAAATGATAATTAAGTATATGCCTGGAGTATCCCCTGGGATTTTATTGCGGGATAACTGACGTATGAATGCCAGATCTTGAAATATAAGTATCTTGTTGCAGGCTACAGTCGCTTCGAGCACCGCATCTAAACAAAGGTACTTTCAGACGGGTTCCATGATTCCTACGATTTTCAAAGGATTGGAATTGAACTGGCAAACCTTTGAGGTCTTGGAACAGCAACCTTAACCGGACTAAACTGATTACAGGTAAGTGACAAAGACAGAATACTTCGTCGGCTGGTATAAGTCTGGCCTTTTTCCAAGTCATAGAAGACACCCAGTGTGAGACACTTGCCACGGGGAACCCGAACGCTGTATTAGCTAATAAAATAATCAGTTGCTATTTGTTATTTAGTGTGTTTCTTTATGAGCCGTTTTGGAAGGGATTTGAATCAACTCAGAGACGGTTAGCATTGCCGGTATCCATCCAAGACGTGTCCGCCATTTTGGCTGGGTAACCGGAAACTTGTCAACGTTGCAAATTTTGTAGTCAAAGATCCACTGCATTTGTCAGACCATAGCCCTATTACTACTTGGCTGAATATTAACAAAAAGACGAGTTACAATCACACCATACTTGAAGGAGATACTTTAACGCGTTTACCGAAACAATTTCTTTGGGAAAACGACTCCGCTCAAAAATTCAAGGATGCTCTGAGGTCTCCCCGTATACAACACTAATACGCGATTATATTGCTGGCGACAAATTCAAGGAAAATACTGAACCATCCCTCGAAAAGGTGGAAAACATTTTAATCACAACGGCTAAGTGTTGTTTAAAGATAAGAGCAGGTAAAACGCGTATAAGCGTATCAAATCATTATCAAACAAAAAATGGTTCGAAAAATAATGTCGTTTGAAAAGGCACGAATTACGAAAACTAGCAAACAAGAAACATCAAGACCCTTTGAATACTATATCATACGTGAGCAATACCATGATACTCTGGCTCAATACAAGAAATTACTTAATTCTAAAAAGAATGATTATTACAATGCCAAGATTTCTGAGCTAGAAAAAACTGCAGACAATTCAGACGCGAAAACTTTCTGGCAATGCCTCAAATCGATGGACGACACTAGAAAAGGAGAGGATGTTCCATCAATGTTGGAGGAAAATTGGCTACAATATTAAATCAATCTAGCAAAACATTTGCAATGAACTACGACAAAATGAATGCCATGGTCAACACTCTCGTCCTTTAGATTTCATGATAACTGAAAGAGAAATACGTAAAGCTGCGGAAAAGTTAAAGAATAATAAATCACCATTTTCGGATAAAATTAGAAATGAAATGATAAAAGCTAGTATTGATACACTGATGCCGGTATATGAAAAATTATTCAACTCAATTCTCAATCAAGGGACCATGCCACAGACTTGGTGTGGTGGTCTTATTACTCCCATTTATAAATCGGGCGGACGAAGCGATCCGGCAAACTACCGGGGTATCTGTGTCTCCAGCTGCCTGGGAAAACTATTTTGTTCTATCTTAAACCAACGACTTCTCGAGTTTATCGTTTCTTTGAATATACTCCACAAATCTCAAATTGGCTTTTTACCGAATAACCGCATAGTAGACCACGTCCTCACTCTCCGAACCTTCATAGATAAGTACGTTCATAATCACAACGAAAATTAAGATCTATGCTTGTTTTGTAGATTTCAAAAAAGCTTTTGACTCGGTCTGGCATGACGGGCTCTTGAATAAGCTGCTTCAAATTGATGTTGATGGTTCTTTTTATAACTTAATTAAAAGCTTATATCACAACTCTTCCTGCTCAATTAAAATTGCCCAAAAACAAATGCGATCATTCCGTTATGCGAGAGGTGTACTTCAAGGCTGTATCTTAAGTCCAATGCTGTTTAATCTTTATATTAACGACCTACCTTTCGCATTTGAAAATACATTATCTGATCCTTTTGTCTTGCCAAACGGTGCAAAACTAAATTCTCTATTATATGCAGACGATTTAATCATTTCATCACGATCCAAAACAGGACTACAAAATTGCCTTGATAAACTATCTTCATTCTGTACTTCATGGATGATGTAAATCAATTCCAAGAAAACAAAAATTATAGTTTTTCAGAAACGTGCGAGAAAAAAATGCTGATTTTCACTTTCTCATTGATATTGAAATAATTGATGTTGTACAAGAGTACACTTACTTAGGAACTCGAATGTCCTCATCGGGAAATTTTTCAGTGTCACGTACGCGTGAACATCTCAAGGAGAAACCTCTTCAGCTTGAGACGACACACGAACCTTAGCAAACTAAAAGCAGCTCTCGCTTGTGAAATATTTGATACTATGATCTCCCCTATTCTAATATATAACAGTGAAATCTGGGGTGTGTATGCCAAACCAGACTTTAAGACCTGGGACGGCTCACAAATGGAGAAGGCACACCTTCAATTTTGTAAACGATGCTTGGAGGTAAACAACAAAGCTTCTAATATAGCTTGTAGAGCAGAGCTTGGTCGTTTTCCTTTAAATATCACAATCAATCAAAAACTTCTCAAATACATTTTGTATATACAGTCTAAAGATGAGGAATCTCTCGTCAAACAAGCGTTTTTAATGTCATTCTTCCACTCTTAAGTTAATGAATATGTCAGAATACTTTAAGCTTCCTAACTTTAACCCTGATTTATTAGATATAGCTATGGTAAAAAGCTATGTAAGTTCAATGAAACAGGAATATATCTCATATTGGCAAAACACCCTTCAACATGCTCAAAAACTTGAACTTTATAGATCTTTTAAAACCGATCATACCACCTCTAGTTACTTAGACTTAGCAAGAGGAACAGCTGGGAGAAGGGCTTTGGTAAAACTACGAATAAGCAATCACAAACTGAGTAATGATAGAAATAGGCAGATACAATCAAACTGCAAAGGATAATAGGCATTGCCCTTTTTGTGGATGCAATGTAATAGAAGACGAAGTTCACTTTCTTTTTCGATGTCCTACATACTCTATGATTACGAATAAATTTTACTATAAAGTCAAGACTCTAGTTCCAAATATTACCCAGTTACCGATAAACGGTTTGATCAATGAACTGATGAACTCTTCTAAATACTTTATTGATATACAATTCATAAAATATATTTCAGCTTGTTTTGATGTTCGTGACAAATTATTATCAAAGTAACGTAATTTCCCTGTGTTGTAATTTTGATTCCTAAACACAAATAAAGCTCGTTGTTGTTGTCTTCCTTAAAGGAAGGTTTCCTTCTTTTATAGGCACCCTCCCGCGTTTAATTGAGGCATTAGCATTAGCATTAGCATTAGTCCTGTTCAGAAGTTTTCCTCGCGAATATTATATTCCATGAGTCTCAGCGCCAGTAGCGATGTACTGAACGCGTTCACATTTACTTGTGCGTCTTGTACTCACTTTGTAGAGACTGACGCATTTCCGTCTCACCTCATCAGTTTATAAAGTCGTTTTTGGTGATGTTTATGAAAAAATGTTCAGAAATTATTTGGGGCATTTAACGCCTGCGTAGCAGGCGCTTGGAAGTAGTTGGCGTAAGAAAGAACGGGCGCGCGAGTGGGAGAAGGAGAGCCTGCCCAGAAGGCCCACGGAAATCGTTTCAACTAGCATTCTGTGAGTGCGGATATTTCCAATTGGTTGAGAGGCTTCCGAGGGGGAAAGTAACCGCGCTGGGTGAGAAAACTGTCAATCAATAGTACATGATAGATAATAGATTGAAAATTTCTTTGGTGCTTTTTCCAGATGTGATCAAAAGCGCTTTACAAAAATTTCATATAATATTAAATACAACATTGAATGGAGAAAAAGTAAAAAATAAAATTTCAAGAGATTCTTTAAAAAGAAAGGTCTTGATAGATTTCTTAAAACTGTTTAAGGAAGCAACATTTCTAATAAGCAGGCAGTTTGCTCCAAAGCGCAGGGGCAGCAGCAGCAAAGGAGCGAGCACCAAGTGTAGGCAGCACTTTCAGTGTAGGAGGTAGCAGCAGAGTACTGCTGGTTGAGCGGAGACCGTAAGTAGAGTCTAAGTAGATTTGGGTTTGACAATTATAAGTTCACCGATGTAGGGAGGAGAGAGACCGTGAATAGCCTTGAAAGTGAGAAGCATGCAGGATCTTGAATTGAATTCGCTTTACGACAGGTAGGCGGGAAGTTGTCGTAGTGCAGGAGTTATATGGCAGAATTTACTAAGGTCAAGAGCAGTGCAAGCAGCAGCATTCTGTACTCTCTGTAATTTTGAAATTTGACACTGCGGGAGGCCATACATGAGACTATTGCAGTAGTCCAGCCGACTTGTGACAAACGCATGGATAAGAGTTACTAGACAGTCTTGTGTCAGGTATTTCCTAATCCTTCTGAGGTTATGCAGATCCAGAACTGCATACTTATACCAATATTTCGGAAGGCACGGCCTTCCTTCTTCAGGGTCTTTAATGCATACAATGATAAGGTTAAGCTAAAACGCTACAATTTGAAATAAAGAATAGCGTGCAATATGATACTGAATGACACGTAAAAAGTTTAAAAATAAGAAAAAAGTGAACATTAAAAGTCTATGAAAACAAAAACCGCTGAAGAAGTGATATGAAAGGAATTTGAGATGTAAAAATAGTTTAAATATGAATGATTACAAACGGAAGAAATAAGAAATGTTAGATTACATTTCATCAAGAGAGGATTTATGCTTCTCTAGCTTTTCGTACACTGTTTCCATTAGATTTAATGAGTTCTAGTGAAATAAGTGTGATGTCGTTAGCAGAGTGATCATTAGTAAGAGAGTGTTCTGAGACTGTGGTGGGTTTGGAAATATTAGATTGGTTGTCAACTGGTCTGAAGTGTTCGTTGAAACGGTCTTTGAGTCGTAGCTTGGTTTCACCTAAGTATTATTTGGAACAGTGGTTGCATTGTATGATGTAAATGACGTTTTTTGAGTTACACTTGGTGTGATGAGCTGATTGGCCTGGTTTCGCCTGTAGAGTGGAATGTGTATGAAGTTTGTCCGCCAGATATGCATTTGCAAGTAAGTCAGTTTTTTCCGCATAGGTTTGAGCCCCGGGGCTGGTTGTGTTGTCTGGGATTGCGAAGTTTGGCCCTAACTAGAAAATCGCTGAGGTTGCTACAACGTCTATCGGCAACGGGGAGATGAAATAAGGATGCGAAAATGTTTGCGAATAATGGATGAGATGAAACGAAGGGCTGTGTTGTAGGTGATAACGAAGGGAACACGTTCTGGTTTGTCCAGTGTGGAACTGTCCTTGTGATATTGTTAACTCGTTGTATTTCCCGTGAAGGAAATAGCGATTATAGCCACGTTTGTAAAGATAGTCAATAAGTTCATTGGTGCGGAGTATGAAGGTCTCGTTGTTAGTACAAATGCGGCGGAGTCTGAGAGCTAGACTGAAAGGATAGCACATTTGGTATGTACGGGATGAATTTTTTTCGCAATATTTAGGGTGTGGCGGAGGGGGGGGTGGGGAATATAGGGAAAATATCAGGAATTTCCGGAAACATATTGTTGTCTGACCTTCCTTCCAACATTTTATCATCTGTTTCCTGAAAAGAATATCGTGAGACAAAAGCAATTACATTAACAATTTTGGCACAACGAGCTGATTTGCGCCCAATGATTTTTTCTCATCAAATGGTAACACCGTCGATCTAAGTTCCAGTCCCGCTTTCAGGTAGTCCTCGGTGATGGTAAGTTTATTTGCCCTCTGTGCTGGCATTTTAGCAGTGGGGTTCATTGATTGTTTAACTCCTTATCTATGAAAAACTCTCTTACATGGCATGATGGCATGTATTTTTTTTTAAACTTTTTCCTGTGTATAATTTGGCTGTGAATGTTTGGACCGAGTCGCTTACAATGATCCTGTTATCGTTCGAAAAAAATGCTAGGAAAGATATCCGATTTGGAGAAACGTTTTTCCCTGCATTTTGTTTTGCGCAATAATGTCTGAAAATAGAGCTAGCCATCATCTTCCATTATGTCTGCGTGAACTGACAAAACGCAATGTAGTGTTAAAAACAAAATTGAAATTTCCCTCGTGTTTCAGGTCTTTCAGTTTCATACAGGAGATAAAATCACCACCATCGATCTATCTTCTTGTGCGCAACATTCATTTGAGGTATGTACCAAGCGATTTTTTATCTCTTAGTTATTTGACCTCTTGGAGGGGGGTACAGAAGGGTAAATTAAATCCCCCTCCTCCCTAAACTTGGTTTAAAAATTGGCGATGGGCAACACACGACTCCTGCACTAAGTCGTAAAGGAAGTTATCTGACCCTAATAACTTACACCATAATAACACCATACCCAACGAAGAGGACGTAACCACGTTATGTCACGCATGAAGATTTTCACTGCGAGAAAAGCTCCTATTTACCTACCAAGTATCTAAGAAAGATACTCTTTCTTATATTAACAGAAAACTCGCTCCAATTTTGTGGTAGCAACTACCTACAGACCCATGGAACAGCCACGGGAACACAGATGGCTGTTGCTTTCGCTAACATCGTCATGGCCAGAATAGAAAACCAAATATTGAGACAGAAATGTATTGAAACGTACAATGGGTACCAGGGGATTTTTCTTGAGTGCAGTAGGATGCTTCGATGTCGCAGACCGACAGATCTTCGGTCGAAGGCCGAAGTCGCGAGCGGCGAAGCCGCGGAAAAACTATAAAAACTTCACCGAAACCGAAAACCGCCCATAAAGAAAGACTCTGATACCGGCCCAGGGTAATTAAACTGCTGTTTTGGAAAAGATGTATTGAGGATGTGTTTTCCACATAGACAAGTCTAGACAAAATAGAGAGCATCGAGGAAAAAATACTATACTATACTATAAAATTCAAGGCTGAGATGTCAGAAGAAGAGATCACTTCCTTGGACGCAAAAGGGCACAAAGGGGTTAGATTCAACAAGAAATAAATCCTAAAGGTGCAAACTCATTACAGTAATTACAAACTAACAGAAACCTTTCAGTACACGAACTTCTACTCGTGTCACCCACCAGGCGTGAAGAAACGCTTCATTAAAGGAGAAGCGCTCAGGCTTCTAAGGACTAATTCACTAAGGTCTACTGAGAAAACAACCAGCTACGCGAAATCTTTAAAGAGCCTCCACTCATATCATATCGCAAGGGAAAATTAAACCCGGGCAAAAGTATTTTCAAAATCCGCCGATTCGATCGCCTATTCACCCCCCTCGAAAGGACGTATTAGTTAGAGCGAAGCTCTGAACAGTCACTTAATAGTATTTCATAGTATACTGATATGTTTTTCCCCCTTAATTATGTAAATCCATTTTTAAAGATGGATAAATAGAGCTCATTGTTATTAGATAACTTCCTCAACGACCAGCTGCAGGTGTCGTGTGTTGTCTAGTCGCCAATTTTGAAACCTGGTAGTCTGAGATGTGTCAAAGTTTGATTCCATGCTTTCTCGTTTCAGTCTACCAAGGGAGTCCCAGGAGACCCGAGGGGATCGAAGTGTACGTCAAATTCCCCGTTTCTCCTTCCCTTTTCATTACGCAAGTTAAAAAAAAAGCACAAAATTATCTTCTCGTTGATATCTCCCTACGCCCAACTTTTCATTTTCGCCCCGATTTCTCCCTCCTCCTATTCTGTTCCTCTCCCTTCTTCATGTAGCTCAGTTAAATCGCGCAACCGAAGGCTATCACTTTCACAAATCGTCGAGTTATTGAGCAAGGAGTTTTCAGGTTGTTTGTCTAAAGATCTTCATTCATTGATTCTGAAAATTATTTCTTTGTTGTAATTTACTTGGCTGATCGTCGCTGATTTCGAATTTTCTTGGAAAAATTTATCAATATCTCATCCTCTTTCAAGAGAGCGCTGGTAACGAGGTTGTCCGGCGATACATCCTGGTCTATGTACAACAGGTGAACCCAAGTTGGAAGTATTTAAGAAGGCAGTAATGATGTCTCAGCGTCGTTAGCGCAATATTACAGTAACATTGTAAAACAACCAGAAATGCGTAAAATGTCATAATTAAAGTTCGACTGATGTTTTTATGAAAATGACATTCACGTTACCCAAAGAACGTTTCGGTGACACTCACATTAAACTCCACCCAGTTTCAGCTGTTTCAGCAACTCCGGCATGGGCATCACCTGTCTCAGACAAATGATGTCCGAAACTGAAAAACAGTACCGGCTTTCCGGAACAGCCGATCTTTGGCCTTCAATACTGGGGCCTTAAGGCTTCGAAATTTTAGCTATCTCTAGTTTTCTTATAATCATTGATCCAAGGTTTTCGATTTACCGCCCTTTTGTTGCAGATCTTAGATGAATTTCATAACGCAGAAAACCAAACAGGATAATTTGTCTAAAATAGCCAAATTGTGACAGAAAATAATCTTTACTCTGCCAACTTCCTCTTTACTTAAATAAGTGTTAATTACTGTGTAGTTTTCAATATATTGTTTGTGTATCGATTTGTCTGTGAACCTTATATTACTTACCTCTTTTGCTCGATTTCATGGCCCTCGAATCGAGGCCCTTTTGATCCCTTTTGGTCGCAGCCAATCGAAAGTAAACACTTTATCCTCTAGAACTCTCGACTGTACGTCGATAAAGGGGGCTGTGAAAAACTTAAGGCGGAGAAATCCTTTCTCGTGTAGAAAGCCTCGTTTTCGCAAGCGAAGTAAAGGTTTAAAAAAATTCTCCTGAATTGAAGAGATACGTTTCTTAGAATATTTGAGGCAATTCCTGGAACGCTACGGTACATAAATTTGGTGTTTTGGGCAAATTTGTATTCAGCCAGGCTTTGTTGTATTTATTTAAGCTTAACTGATAAATTGCTTTAGTTATTTAGGGCTTTTCTGGAACGTGCATGTAATGCACAGTTTTTTGGCACTGTTAATGGCAAATATCACTGAAAAATGGAAAGAAATTGCAACTGATTCAAACCGTTTGAAATGTCACGCTTTACTCGCAGCACGTCACCTTAACTTCCATTGGAAACTACTAGTTAGCCAGCGCTTGTCCTCTTAAAAAATACTCCGACGAAGACAGAATAACAGCGGCCGAAAATTAAGTTTATATTTATTTATTTTTATTTGAGATATATATCTCGAAAGTAGTTATTAATCTATTTAGAGATTTGGATTTAGTGTGCGAAAATTTCTGCTTTGTGAAGGTGTGCTCCCTAATTTCTTTAGAATTTTGTTCCAATAAAAGGTGTTTTGTGAAAGGTTTGAAGCCAGGAGTCATTTCAAAAGTAGGTTGAGTTTGAGTCGTCCGGGTGAACGTAGTCTTGAATAGGACTGTTGTTGTTGACAGTGATTGACGTTTCGACAACCTGTGCGGTAGTCATCTTCAGAGTCAAAGTGAGTTGTATCACGCCAGTTGATGGTATTATACTCGGGTTATTGATTAGGCTTTTGTACATTATGCTTTTGCTTCCCTAATAAAATGCTCCACCTTAATGCTCCATTTTTCCCACTAAAATGCTCGGTCTCCCCCAAAAAATCACGAAAATGCTCGGATTAATTAATTTCAAAGTTTACACTTACAAAAACGTGCAAGTGTTGCAAGTAACAACGACAACGTGTACAAGTTCATAAAAACAGCCAAAAAACCAGCTGTATTAGGTTTTTTGTGAATTTTGAATTTTAGTCTTCATTTTGTTTAAAAAAGCAGGAGCTCATAGAGCATGGGCTCCTGAAAAAAGTTAATTTCGACTTTATTTTCTCGGAAACATTAATTTTCCGGGGAAAATGCCACTAAAATGCTCGAATAATGCTCAATGCTTTTGCCTCACTAAAATGCTCGAAAAAATGCTAGCATAATGTACAAAAGCCTATTACTGATCTGATTGGTCAATTACGTCGCGATGTTATTGGTCGTCTGTCAGTTAAGCCGTGATGTTATTGGCTATGAGGAATCGTAATCAGTAATTGGTGCGTTTCGATCCGTCTACTGTCACAGTTAAACAGTCGTCTATTGTTAGTCAAATTGTCAGTTCTCTAGTCGTTCTCGCGTAGTTAGTTTTGGTTGATCTCGTCAATAAGTCGTTTGTACGGCGCTGGTAACTGTTAGCTACGATTCAGTGGCGTTTGTTCTAAGTTAGTAAACCACCTTTCTAAAGTAAGACTTTGATAGTAGTCTGTAGAATACGCTATACATGTCGCAGAGTCCCCGTCAATTTGATGTTTCGTCTGTAAATGGTGCTCAGCAACGTGATTGTTGACGTCACCATTCCTCGTCACTCGTTTGTGTTCGGTCAGTCGCGTGCTTAGGTTTCTGCCGTTTTCAGATCAGACTTATAACAAAACCCGCTAAATACAGATACCCCGTCTGTATAGAATGTTTTCAGTATCTTAGCCAGTATCTATACAAATTTATTGGAACTAAAGGATGCGTTTGCATAAGAAAAGAGTTCAACTCCCACAGGATTTGTTTGGGACACCAACATGGCCGCCGTTACATTGTTTTGGGACACCAATATGGCCGCCGTGACGTCATGTGAAAACACTCTATTAACGCCCGGAGTAGTCAATCGATAATTATTGGTATCGATGAATCAATAAAAATCGGTAAATCTGATTTGATTGATATCGATTGTATCTACCAATCGGTAGAAAAAGTAGACTGCAAAACAGTCGGTTTTTTTCTCAAAATCAGTAAAGACATCGGTAAAGCGTGGCGTAAGAGTCTAACGTGCGCGAAGCGCGCAAGCCTCACACGCTGTTTTCAGCCTCATTCCAGACCTTTTGTTTGACTACTCGCGCGTACTTGAATACGCAAAAATACGGACTGTTTTGCAGTCTATAGAAAAAGATGACACACCCGCTTTATCTTGATTTTTACCGATTTTATCGATTTGTATCGGAGGATATATATGTTCATCAAAAAATGAAAACTGAATTTATGCAACCAGTAAATAAGCTTTTCTATAAAACCAGGTTTAAAATCTTCTTCTGATGGCTGATATTGGCCAGGTTTGTAAGCGCCCAGTTTTTCATGATTTAGACCTCCGTCCCTTTCAAAATAACGTTGGTGTAGTTCCTGGTGTAGTTAAATCCCGGAGTAGTCAATAGATGTTAAATCGAAATCAATAAAAATCGTTAGTAATCAAGTGATTTTTATCGATTCGATTGATAACGGAAAACGGTGAAAATCTATTTAGAGAAGTCTTTTAGCCTGAATTTCAGACATTCCTTCTACTCGAGGGGATGTCTGAAATTCATGCTAGGAAATCCCTTTTATCTAAGGTTGTATTTTTGGTGATACTTGCCTGCAAAAACTAAATTTAATTAACCGAACAGTTTTGTTTTTGTTATTATGTACAAAATAAAGGGCTTTAGAGAGAAACTTGTGTGTAATTCTTTCCTCATTTCTCATTTTTATGTTTGTTGATCAGTTGTTACTCGTGGATGTGTTTTCTCAACAGCACTATCTATAACTTATAGCTTCCGTTATAAATCGTTAAAATCATATAAAATCGATAAAATCGTCGATTTGACACAGCAATTTAGTTGATCGATTTTTACTGTTATTAATCGACAAAAAACACTTGATTGCTACCGATTTTATGGATACCGATTTTTATCCATTGACTACTCCGGGATTAACGGGGTTTGACTAGGCCTTGGTGGATTGTGCTCCTAAAAGTGGCATATTATGCTACTAGCAGTGCTCGAAATTTTGCCAAATTATGCCAAAATTATGACAGAATTCCCAAATTATGCTCTTGATTTCCGAAATTATGCTCACAAAATGACGTAGATTCTGTACATATAGGCGCGCAATAACCACACCAAATTATGATGTTTTTCAAATAAACTGTTGTTGTAAATTTATTTGTGTTTTATGGCAGTTTGTCTCGGCCCTCAACTGTCCAAATTAGCTGCTCGCATCTCTGAACCGTTTGTAAAATGTCTTCAACGACTTAACGATCACACCCGTATATACTGACTGACCCAAAAGAATATAGTACCTTCTTGATTTAAACTAACTCAAACTATAGCGAACTATAACGTTGAAAGTATCAAGCCACGAAGTAAATCAACTTGTCTTGAAAGTTCTGAGTTCTTTCAGCACCAATAATTGCTTGAATAAACATGGATAAGAATAGTATACACAAGTCAACAGCAGCGCTTATTGTATTGCAACATGGAGATAGTCTGCCAGAGCGCTGTCCTGGTGATCACTGAATGCCGCTGAGAGTAGGGAGAAGGCTCGCTCAGCTGCAGCAGAGGAAGGCTGCACCAATAGAACCTGCTTCACTGCGGCTGATTTTATTTATTTCTGTAGAAAATACACCATATTTACTAAATTTTATGAATTTGTGCCCCAAAAAGTGCTAAAATTTGCTAATTATGCCGTGGCAGTGCTCGTTTAAAAAATTATGCTCTTTTGCTCCAATTATGCCAAAAATTATGCTAGCACAATCCGCCAAGGCCTAGGTTTGACTGTATTTCAAAATTATCATATCATAGCTAATTTGTAACCTTAGAAGCTAGTGATTCAAATATCTCTAAACAGTTTACCTGTATATTTACGACCTAAAGGTAAGTGTCCTATGTCCTATGGCCTATGTTGCACCGCGTCTTAGCGTCTTTTGCAGCCAACATCACTAATTTAATTAACGGAAATGCTGCGCGCAAAATTCTATTTACCAGGCATCAACCGCCGCATTTACATGGAAATAAATTTTAAAAAACGTCGTAAATTGGCCTTCATGCTCAAGAAAGAGTATTCTTTTTAGAGAACTGATTCTCCAATCTCAGGGGAAGAACGAGGAGCATTAAAAAACACTCCAAGAAGGAAACATCGTTGATAAGATTAAAGCACAGCAAGACAAAAAAGATGCCAAACCGTCGAAAAACTTCAAACAGTATGATGGTAGACAAGATTGCCTCGTGAGCAGCGAAGATGCAGAACGACGCGATTGGAGACAGGACCCTTCCCATTGTAGCGGTCATTGATAAATCCGAAAAATATAAAGTCCACGTGAGAACCGCCCTTTCTAAAGATCTCTTAGACGGGGTCAACGTTGGGATTTTCTTGGAGGGCTTAAAAGCCTTATCAGCGTGGCTCTCAACGGGTTTTTGGGCAACTCTTCAACTGGCGAAACCGAAAAGAACAATTTTTATGTCATTCTTCGCTAACAACAGCCTTCTGTGGCTCAGGTGAATTCTAACCCGCACCCCATCACCTCCCCCACCACCCCCTTAACGCCTGCTACGCATTTATCGGGTGTTATTGACCTTTCGACTACCCGCGGATACCCGCAATAGAATGTTTTCAAATGACGTCACGGCGGCCATATTGGTGTCCCAAAACAATGAAACGGCGGCCATGTTGGTGTCCCAAACCAATCCTCTGGGAGTTGAACTCTTTTCTCATGCAAACTCTTTCTTTTGTTCCAATAAATTTGCATAGATGCTGGCCACGTGAGTGAAAACACTCTATAAATAAACGAGGCGGCAAACTTAAACTCGGACCACGTGACCAGCCGCAGATCTCAAAGCAAGACAGAACCCTGGAACGAGATGACTCATGCAAAAATTAGTCTTGCTTAGCGTCGTCGAAGCCACGTTTTAGGATTGCTGTTCAAGCCCGTAGAAGTGTGGATGTAAAAGGTAATAAGTAGTTGTTAATGCGTGTATAAAGAAGGGGGAAAGAGTGCTAAGTAGGCTAGGGAAGGTTGGAAAAATCTTTGTAACTTTATTGAAGTCAGCTATTTCTTAGGATAGCAGTAGTATAGAATTTCAAACAAGTCAAATTGTCTATATTAGATCTCTCTACTGACTAGAAGTTAATTTAGAACAAGCTTACTACCTGTCTGAATGCTTGAGAGAAACTATATCCATTGTGAGCGCCTAAAAACGTCAAGAGCTAGCAAAGATGAGAGTTTCGCAAAGACACGAAAATTGTAGTTTAAGGTTTGAGGCTTCCATTTTAAATTAAGCTGAAATTGTCGAACATAATGTTCCCTGTAAAAATGTCATTATTCTCTGGTAACCTTGGAACAAAGACTGTTTTGATAATCAAAACGATTACGTTGTGTTAAAATAAGAAGTTTCTAGAAGATATTCGAGTTGTGATCACGGCAGGATTAGCTCAGTCGGTAGAGCGCTTGACTGCATAGCGGGAGGATTCTTGGGGCCGGATCTTAAAATTACTGAAAAAAATTACTGAGAAATGAAGGTACTCCATTTGCACTGCAAGCTGCTAGACCTTCGTTTGACTCGGATGACCATTTAAAATGGCGGTCCTGTCTCCAGTAAAAGATGTAATAGCAGTGTCCTAAAATAGTACTTTTGTGCTAAATTCATTGACATTCAAGTAAAGGGCATTTGTTTCGTTCAAATTATGAGGCTCAATACGAATGACTGCATCTCAGACAAAAATTTTAATTCCCACTTTGAATAACATGCTTTGCAGGTTTTAAGTTTTGCAATTTTCAAAGTTCCCGCGAAAATTATTTTGATCTTTGGACTGGGACTCAAAATAGACCTTTTCACCGTTTTTTCAACTTTTTATATGGACCAGTCAGGGAAAATCCGTCGACACCACGAGAAAGAGCGCCTTAATATTAGTAAAATTCCCAACTTTGAAAGCGATACGTCTTTAGCAAGCAAAGATATAGCTCTGCAAAGTCCCAAAATTTTACAGATGCGTTTGTAAAATTACGTGACTTTGAGGTGGTGTATCGATCTTAGGTTTCAACAAATCACTTAAAACTTGGCAATCTCACTAATTTTGAGGCGCTTTTTTCAGTGTTGTCAATGGATTTTCCTGAATTTGCCCATGTCAAAAGTTGAAAAAAAACAGTGAAAAGGTCTATTCAAGATGTGAATATAATGCAATAATGAAGAAGGCCACAATAATTATTACTGAGATCAGCCTAGCTTTTCAACATTTTGATGTTGGAAATGTGTTTCATCTCATTTATCCTCAAACTTGTTGTATAAAACTTTGTAAATATTAACTTGCAGTAGGAAAAATCCAGTCTTGATCATTTGCAAAAATAGCTTCAGCCAGGGTGTTTAGTTTGACCCTAAAGAATTAAGCACCAAATATGAATGAGCTTACCTTTTATCTTGACAATTTTAAGGTCAACAGCATAATTTCCGTGGTCTAGTGGTCAACTGTATACATTTCAAACAATTTGTCAAGCAGTGAAAACATTTAGATACCTGTATGTAGAAGATCAGGTCACCCTCAAGATGCCCATTGTAGCGATCGCCGTACATCAACTATTTCATTGCAGTTTTTCTTTGAAAAACTTATCTGTACCAACGCCATAAAGTCAGACATAATTTGTGTCTCACACACTCCATATTTCTTTCACTTCAGATAATTATACAGATTCAGTGTACCTACACGTGATTGAAATCAGTCATGTGATTCTATAGCATGCCCATGCACGTGGCAGTCATAAAGAAGTAGTCTTGAAATAAATGGATAAAGCTAGAATGTTTATTGGTTAAAAACTGCGGTTGAATTGCACAATCACGAGCTAAAAAAAACATAGTTTTAATAGGAGACGTTAATAAGAGATTATTTAATCGTGACCATAATGTATACACTCACTGTAGAAGTTAGTTGACCTTGAACACCAGATATATCTTAGTGGAGATTTTAGAATTTATTATTGTGAAATATTTTTTACAGGCCATTTTTTCCGACTTTTGACACTCATGACAACTGTCACAATTCCATTAACTACATAATGAGAAGAAAAATGCTCCATTTTCCTTTGGCTGTTAAGGCATGTGGTAAAATGATATTAAAGATATTTCCTCTTAGTCATTATCTATCAATATTTTTCCTTTGGCGAGCCCCCAATGGGCTTTGTGGATATTGAAAGTAATCTCCCCCATGCTTTGTCATGACCTGAAAAGGGAAATTTTAACAGTGTTTGGGGCTAATATGGAATGTGCTTGGTAATCATTTTTCAAAACCATGAACAATAAGCTGTTGACGTGACCCCCCAGAATGTCCTAAAAGGATTTTGATGTTTCCTTTGACAAATCCTATTTACATACATGTACATTATTTTTTTCATGTCTTGCTTCTGTGATCCTTTCATAGAAGCAATTTTACATGGTAACTACACTCAGCCATATAGTTTACAGATATCCCATGGGTAAAATTAAGGGAAAATTGAAATTCAAAATTTAGCAGTTGAATTACATACTAACTGCTGCTGTTGACAAGAATTCTTAAGAGGATTGTTGTAAATTTTAATCATTGAAATCAGACAGTTGGTATTTTGTATGTCATTAAAATTGCATGGGTATTGTGCTTTCTATATGAATTTAACAAACAAATGTCATTCAAATTAACAGCCATACATTTCCTTTGAGGTGTTTGAAATATTTTATCTTTTTGAATCTTTGTTTTAAACTCTATGTTCCTGTTTTGAACTAATTTTTTGCACATTACCATACCCCAAAAACCAAAGGAACTAGTCTATTATAATTTAAACCTAAGATAATACACATAATACTGTCTTGAACCACAACATTTGCAAAACAATTAATCATCCAAGAATGTGCATGACTGAATGTCTGGCAAGATGCCACAGCTTTCATTCAATGGCTATATTTATCTGCATGGCTTTACAAAAGCCATATCTGGTACAAAATATCATTTTCAAACATTTTGCTTATGCAAACCTCTAAGTTACTACCTAAGAAACAAACGTGTAGAAGATAATGCCCCCAAGGTTTATGCACAACTGCATGAAATGAGTTTCTTCCTTTGTTGGGCTTGCTTAAACTACCAAGTACAATGTACATTTAGCCCAGATGGGACATAAACAGTATATTTTTCCCTATCAGGCAGTATCTACTGTACCACAAGCATGTCATATATGTACCATTTTTACCTGCATATACATGAACTGATCATGTGAAGGTTTCATGGTTATTAATCATTCTACAGTATGGAAGTTCTGATGAAGAACCAGCTGTTCGTTATCTGGGTTTGTTTTTTAGATTTATGGCTCGTATAGAATGCGTCGCATGTATATCAAAAATGCTGGCTTCTAAAGACATAACTTGCAGAAGCCGACTTATTGCCAAGAGATGAAGGTGGTGCAGCACGAACTTACCTTTTACCAGAACTTCATGCGTAATTTCATGAATGTACTTATATTTTGTCTGCTTTACCCGTTTGACTAGTTTTGAACTGGTTTAACTGAATCAGTTTTTCAACAATAGACCTTGATTATAAGTTAGAACCCAGGCCCTATCTTAACAGTCACATGTTTCCCTTATGCCTCCATGGAGACTTGTTTTCTTACCGAACAGTTTGGTCAGTAAACTGTACTTTGCTCTGCTGTGTGTATTTAGATTCAGACGCAATCTGGATATTGTTTTAGTCTGCATTATTCATGTACACCCAGTCTGTCATCTGCAGTCTGCTTTAACTTTTATACCCAGTCTGTAGTTTACGATCTGCATTTTGTACTCATCAAATAGTAATAGTTATACATGTAATGTATGAAATAAAAGAATAATGTTGTGGTCAGTATTATTTTTTTATGAATCTTTTCTGAAAGACAAGGTGTTGACATGTACACTTTTAGCACTTGGTCTTACATAATTTGTCTTGTGAGCTGTCTGTTTTGGTATTTTGTTCCTCAGTTGCAATGGCAAAAAGTCATGAGATGTGCAGAGCCTAGTCTTTGACCATTGACAGCAAACTTGCTGACTGTTTGTTGACTGCAAGAGCAAAGATGCTGTAGAGCAAGGCAAATTTAAAGAGACGTCTTGTCTTCTCTTCAAAAGAGGGACTGATTTTGTACACGCAATCTTTGCAATAGGGAACAGTTCCATTTTATTTGATTTGTGAGCTTATAGGTACATTTGTAGGTAATCTGTATTTGCATACAAAGTGTGGTAAAAATGTGACTGTAAATCTCTCCCATGATATTCACATTTTAGCAAACTGAGGCACAAGTTTATCTGTACACATATCCATAAAGCAGGGCTTCTGATATTTCGCGGAAAAAAAAGCAAAATTTCGCGGGATTTTCAGGGGCAAATTCGCGGAAAAATCGGCCGATTTCGCGGGATTTTCGCGGGAAAAAAGTCAAAATTCGTGGAACAATCGGCCGATTTCAGGCGATTTTCGCGGGAGAAAAGTCAAAATTCGCAGGAAAATCACCCATTTCAAGGGATTTTAGCGGAAAAGAGTCAATTTTCGAAGGATTTTCAGGGGCAAATAATTTCCTAAGAATTTCTTAGGAAAATCGGCCGATTTCACGAGAAATTTCAGAGGAAACTTCGCCAAGAAACAATCAGTAAAAAACAGCCGATTTCGCTGGGTTTTTTTTGGCAAATTTCGCTAAAATCGATCAATTTTGCGTCGATATGACCAGCGTTGGTGAATGCTTTTTTTAACACGGATAATCATTTGCTCTTTCAACAACAGTTCGCTCGAGAAATAAGCGCATGTTAAAGCTATCAACATTATGGTTAGTGCCCAGTTTTTCGCAACGTTCATCTAAAAACGCCTGGTAGTTTTGGGACGTTATTTACTCGTTGCAGTGATGAAGTTTCAAGCTAAATTTGGACGTTTGGGGTGAATAAAACCAGTCTAATAGCCAAGATAAGTATTAAATATGTTTTGCCGACATGTATTTGGAAATACTTCTGGCGGATTTCGCGGTATTTCGCGTTTTTTGGGGAATTTCGCGGGATTTCGCGGGTCCGCGACCGCGCGAAATATCAGAAGCCCTGATAAAGTTGCTAGCATTCTTGTTTTGACTGGAAGTACGTACTAGCCGAATATTGTGTAAATGATTCTTGTCATTTTATAAGACGCTCTTAATGTGAAACACAGTAAGTAATTTGGTGCCACTCAGTTGTGTTTATTATTATTTTATTGCAATATTCATATGCAGTGTTGTGTGAAAACTAGACATGAATGGGTGTACCAATATTAGAAAGAAAGGACACCAGTTGAAACATTCCACAATGGCCACCTTTGGAAATTGAAGAAGTATAATATACAGGTGTAACACCAACTTTCTGGATGCAGTGCTGTACAACATTTTTATACTTTCAAAAACTGCTCTATAATAGCACATTAACATTTCACACAATCCATATACATGTACAGTATATTTCAGTAAAACATAAACATAATACTATTAGTAGGTTGAGTTATGATCGTCCAGGTGAATGTAGTCCTGAATAGGAGTGTTGTTGTTTACAGTGACTGAAGGTTAGACAACCTGTGCGGTAGTCACCTTCAGGCTCAAAGTGAGTTGTTAATGTAAGTGGCCTGGCGGTCACAACATTTGATCTTGTATACAGCTCCCTGTCTGTCCTCCGGTTTGTCTTTGTCACTGACATTAATTAGTAAGTATTCGTTGCAGGGCTGCAAATAACGGCGGGTCAACGGACAATGTCCGGCCTGATCGCGGACTTGACTGGTCATTTTTGGATACAAACACTTTATTTTCCATACAGTTGTCGCTTAATGCTCTATAACGCTGCAATGATGTCTTTTTTCTTTGGCGTTTTTTGCTGCTCTGCACTAAACCCTTCTAAGAAAAAGAACGCCGCAATAAATTAATTTCATGTCGTAATCTAACGCATCAAAGTGAATAACAAACTGAGTTGGAAAGTAACGCAATGTTGTAAGTCGTACTGTACTTTCGGCTTTGCTGTAATCAGCAATGTGACCTTCTTTGGGAATTCGAAGAAATTCAGTCAAATCAATCGCAATTCTCAACAGGTCGTCCTATGTTTCTCCGGGAATAAATGTTAGCGCATCGATTAATAATAATTTCTTTTATGTTGAACATGAATCTCGTTTGCAGACTCGATTCCAGAATGGTCTGATAAAAATTTAAGCTGCTCAAGAGGGAAGGTCGTCGTCTATCGCGGCGCTAGATTCTCGTTCTTGTAAACAACTTTATGCAAATTTCTGTTGATATTTGAGCCCTTTGCAATAAAATGTTGCACGATGACCCAAATTTATTTATTGACTTCTGATCGTCAACATGCTGTTTGTGGAACAAACTTCTCGCCAATGCAAATCAACTTCTTTGACGAAAATATCAGCGACGATTCTTCTTTGAGGAAGTGACTTTCGATCACGTGCCAGGCAAGGAAAAAGATCAAGTTTCACCAATGTTCATTTCGGAACATCAACGTAAAACAAGTGTGTGCAGATTTTGTAGAATAACCCGATTTTTTTTTTCGTAATTTCTAAAGTTTGCTGAACTGTATGTGTATTCCGTTTCCTGAACCTTGGGAGTTTGAAAAGGATTTGCGCTGCACTTTTTTACCTGTAGAGACTTCAGACACCGCCGTGCAATGATACTCAAGGTAGAAAGTAACATTAAAACGCGCGAAAACTGTGGAAAGGAACTCTACAACGTGCGAATGCATTTTTCACCAATTTGCTGTCAAAAGTGTGAACGTCAATGTAGTAATAACGATCTATTGCCAGCATAATTGGATATTCCTTAGGCAAAAAATAAATTATTAGTATTCATTATTTGACCGGCCAGAATCGGGTTTGTCCGGGCTAAAAAATATTTGGCCGGTCATCATGACCGGCAACCTGCTGTCTGTTATTTGCAGCCCTGCGTTGTGAAGTGGTTATCAGTTTGTGTGCCACATGTATATTGTAAGGTTGCGGTATACATGTGATAGTACAACCTTACTGATCACTAACTGACTCTGTAGATGACTCACCGCATGGGTTATCGAAAGGTCAGTCACTGTCAACAACAGCAGTCCTATACTGGACTCAGGACAGTGTACGCTCACCGGATGATCATACTCACCTAACTTATGAAATGACTCCTGGGTTCAAACCTTTCAAAAAACATAAACAATGTATTATTCTGAACCAAAAATAATTGTGAACAAGTTACATTGCAGAGTACTTCATTTTTCTTGTTGTTTGCTATTGTTGAGAGTTTTTGCAAGTTGTGCATAGTTATTTTTAAAAGGACCTAAAAGGCTGTTTTCATTAGCATGAAAAGTTCATGGTGGCACCTTCATTACAGTTATATCATCTTTTTGACTTGTTACAGCGTATACTGGACAATATCTGTTATCCGTGCCGTAGCCAAAATGTTTGAAAAAAATTTTTTTGGTCATGACTTTATTTTACCACTACCTGAATGAAAATGGTTTATTAAACAACTGTCAATCTGGTGAGTCAATATTGACAGATGTCTTTTTAATGGCATAATTTTCATTGATTTGAACAAGGCCTTTGACACTATTGACCATGAGATTGTTCTACGAAAACTTACTAAATATGGCATTGACCAAGATGCCTTGAAATGGTCTTTTAAGATAAAAACTAACCATATGCAAAAATAAGACGCATTGTAGGTAACTGTCTATGTAGGAGGAGCCCACTTAACTGTGGCATTTCTCAAGAGTCAATAATATGATAGGCCCCTTCTTTTTTGGTCTACACAAATGATCTTCCAAACTGTTTAAATACTGGTTCTCATGGATGACACTAACTTACCTTTTCTGCACTTAGCATACATGATCTCAAATTAAAGATCAATACTGAACTGAAACATATTGATCTCTGGTTTTAATCTAACAAGTTAAGTCTCAATGTCACCAAAACAGAAATTATGATTTATTAGCTCAATGCAGAAACGACAACCTTCAAATGAGTACACAATAAGCATTACTGAAGATGGCATCCAAGTAAACCAAACAACTTAAATTAGCAAATCTCTTGGGCTTAATATTGACGGTAATCTCTCTTGGAGCACATACATGACATCTCAAAAAAAAAGTCTCCTCAAGCATTGGTGTGATTAAGCAAGTCAGGCCACTTGTTTCCATGCACACTGCATTTAAAGTATACAAAGGTCTTATTAAACGACATTTGATTACTTAAGTGCTGTCTGGGATGGCTTGTTGTAACAGCTGAGTGATTACAGAATGGCACTGTCAGAGTTATCACTAAACCAAACTATGACACTTATTCCAGACAACTTCTTAACTTGCTTGGTTGGGACAACTTATCAATCAGAAGGGCTAAGAAATTAGCTTACTTAATGTATAAGTATACTAATAATCTCGCCCCAGTTTATCTCTGCAATTTGTTTGCTCTGAGAATCTAGATTTACGACCTTTGTGACGCTAAGGGTAAATTGCTACTTTAGAAACCAAGAACTGACTACCTCAAGCATAGCTTTACAAAATGTAGTTACAGTGGTGCTTACTTATGGGATAGTCTTCCCGAGGATGTATGCACAGCGAATTCTTGACTTTTAGAGAAAAATGCACTCGGTTTGCTGATCAGTACTTTCACATGGCAAATATGTAAAGAAGGTTATTGATTTATTTAATCAAGTTTCAGATTTACATTTACAATGACAATTAAATCAATCAATCAATCAGTGTGAGGTAGGCTAAAAACAGCGAGAATACAAGACTCCTGAAACATAAAGTATCACTAAAAAATTACAAAAGACATGCGACATGAACACTTATCAATAAAAATTATCATAAATGGATTGATGATTGAATAAAGTACAGTGAAAAGTTAGAAAAAATCTACATTAAACTTATCATAATAAAAGGCCATCAAGTTCTTAGAAAAGATTGACAAGGTATTTGACTCTCTTATACTAAGAAGTAATTCATTCCACCGGCGACAGATCCGAACACAAAAAGAATTCTTAAAGACATCAGTTCTGCTGAAAGGGACATCAAGCGTTAAATGATCAGTTTTTCTGAGCGGTTTGATTCAAGAGTGAAATGATACTTTTTCGAAGATATTTAACTTATATAATCTTAAAACACTTAAAAAAGAAAATTAAATCATTAATTATAGAGAATTTATAGAGAATTTATTTATTTTCTATTATTATACAGATATTTTAACTGTGTCTAAATTAATAGAGTTTATCATCATCACTGAGTTTCATTGAAAATCTAGGACAGGTTCTTTTACTAGGGATTCATTAAATCTAACATAGGTTTGAGACAATTATAAAGAGTTCCTGCTTACATCCATGGCCACGACCCGTCACTGCAAGGTCCACAACCACCACATTTTTAGCCCCCCTGCATGCGGTTGGTTAGGTAAAAATTGGGGTTTTGTTACTTTTAGGGAACCATTGCTCTATAGAGGAAAACAAGTAAGTGCACTATCAAAATGATGGGTTTAGTGCATCCAAAAAAAAAATCATGTCATTGTCAAATACAAAAAACGAAAAAAGTGCAAATACTGGCCCTTTCTGGGTGCATCGTTTAACCACATAAACATACTACGTTTGGCATATGTACATGAACATTTGTCGTGTAAACTTGTCATTTTGCTCGTCCGTTTTGTTAGTTTTTTTCTTCCATAAGGATTAATTCCTTGTTGTTCACTTCAAGTAAACATATGGCCACCACCTGACTGATAAGTCAAATTTGTTTTGCAGGCTAATGGCTTCTGCTCTAGTGTTGGTTTCATCTACCAAGGAGGTGATAAATTTTTTTCGCCTTACTCGTCTCTTGGTTGAGGGTGGCACCAAAGCCTTAAGGTACACTTTTGACAACATTCATCCACCCGCAAAGCTGCATCAAGCTTTAGAATCTAACCGTCTAACACTGCAAAGGCTCAGGAGTAAGAGAATTCTTAGTTCCGCACAATGGAATATGCTGTATCCCACTACTCATTCATCAGGAAAATCAGGAGAATTTGACATCACACTACTGTTGGTGTTACTTAGGCAAATTTGTGGTCTGTCCCCTCCTGCCACAGGCTGGAACAACCTTCCACGTGCATCAGACAAAAGTGTTGAGGCTAACATAGCCAGGGTGACGTTATACACAAACTCATTGTTGAGGTGTGCCAGCTGTGCATCTGTCGATGATCCAACGTTTGATGCCTTGTGGCTGGAAATCAGCGATGCACTGATAGGACTAGGTGTAGATGCAGACACTATTAATGAGCTAAAGACTGAGAGCATATATCCTGATGTAGAAGAGCATCACCAAAAGCTGTTGAAAGAGTGGAGGAAAGATGAAGATAATATCAAGGACAAACATGATGAGATAGAAGGTATGAATAGTAATGACTGTTGTTAAATATTTACATGTAAATAGGTTAAACTTACAGTCATTTAACTCTTGCTGCCATTGGGCTCGGAGCTTGTCAGTAGCCTTAAAATTGGTTCATAACTCTTCGCTGCTTTTCTTGTACATAGCACGATTATATAGTTATCATGGCCTGATAAATTTTTGTTCACTTTGTACTATGCTACATGTGTGCAGTATCTTACCTGAAGCAAAGTTAATCCTTTCTAGATCCCCACTTTCCTGCTATCAACTTTTGTACGCATCCTTTTTTCACTAACCTGGTCAATGGCTAGCGAGAGTATCCCTTCCCCTCCCCCTTGCATTCAATTTTATAGAGTATAACAAGGTTTCTAAAGTGAAGCCTAACTCAAAGTAAAGACCTTGCTTGATCAAGCATATCACCTGCAATCATATTAAAAAATGAAAAAACTATCTAATATTGTTAGATTTTACCTTGTTCAACACACAACAACATTGTCTGGAGGAGAGGGAGGGGGGCTTCTTTTCCCTTGGGAAGAGTGGAGAGGCTGTGTTGTTGCAGTCTGTTTTTGCATACATTATTTCTGGAAAATAGTGAACAAACCAAAAAGCAATTAATAATTATGATGACAATGACTGTCATCATGTTTTTGTACTACAGGAGAAACCAACTTGTCTAATTTTGTAACTTAGCAACACTTTTTTAAGAGTACATTTTTGCACTGGGGCCTTCACAAGACTAGTGGTGTGGAGTGAAACTATGCTAAGTGACTCCATAGCCCTTCAATAAACTTTTTTCACTTTTGTTGTGTACTTTTCACACAGTTTGGAGTGGAGAACTACTGAATGTCATTAGAAGCTTCCCCAATGACCTTTGGAATCGTGCATGTGAATGTCAGGGTCTCGGCATAGAAAACATCCAGGAATTTGACATAACAGCCTTAGATGATACACTAAAGAAGAATTTTTTATCACTACTACAGTTTGTTAAATGGGATTTTCTAAACCCTTGGAGTGATAGTCAACCAGAATTTGTAGTTCTTACTTGCACTGAGAGTAAGGATTTAAATGTAATAAACTGCCTTGTCATCCAGGGTATTTGTGCTTTTAGTAAAGGAGACACAAAGATGTTAGAAGAAATACAGGCCATTGCTGTCCAATATAAAACCTATCCTGGTTCTGGATTTTTAATGAATATCCTTGGTGTGATGTTTTGCGAAAAAGTTCTCTATGAACAGGGTAAAGAGTGTTTTGATATGGCTAAGAGTTACTTTCATAGCCATCAGGACAATCTGAGAGAGGCAGTTACTACTTTAAACCAAGCAGTTTTGCACAAGACCTTGGGGGATTACAGAATGGCGCAGAGTCTTTCTTTTGAGGCAGCCTCCCTGTGCCATGACATCTTCATGATAACAACAAACAACCGACATCTGCTAGTGAAGGTGCTGGGAAGAGTTACTGATATGCTAGAGGAGTTTGGAAACTATGACAGATTCCACAAGACCCTCCAGACTGGTGTTCAGTTTGATTTTGCTGGTACCAGTAAGGCTACTGCAGTTATTTTGATCGAATTAATGAATATTCAACTCAAAGAAACTAACAAGAACCTTGCAGCTGAGGAGAGCAAAGGTTTTGTTTGCCGTCTGTTTAGATTTTTAGATAATCCTGACACAGAGTTGATGAATGCTGAGGTTATACGAGCATTCATGATTGCAGCAAAGATTCATCGCAAAACTGGTCATGATGATGAAGCCTGCGATTTATTAAAGAAGTTGCAGACAACTTTCCTGCTTGCTCATGGTGGAGAACATTCTCTCTATGGTTCACTACTATACCAAATTGGCTGCTTCTTTATTGACTGTGAAAAGGTTGATGAAGCTTTAGGTGCACTGAAGCAGGCAGAGGAAATTCTAATTCGTTCTTTTGGCAAAGAACACCATTCAGTTGCATCATGTAAAAGCATGTTAGGTTCCTGTTTTCTGCTTAAAAGTAACAGCAAAGAGGCCTTGAGGCACCTAAATGAAGCTCTGGCAACATTTAGAAATTTAAATCCTAATCATCCTGAAGTGGGAGGGATACTCCTTAGACTTACATTTATTCATATTAAAGAGGAAAGCTATCAGTGTGCCCAGGATACCGAGGAAGAAGCTCTAAAAATCTTCATCTCAGCTTGTGGTAAAGTATCTCCGAAGACAGCTACGGCATATTTCCAGTCAGCGATGTTCTTGCTGAAAGATAAGGCATTGTGGAGTTTAGCCAAGGAAAGACTGGTGACAGCAACTGACATCTTCTTAAGGCTTGGTTTGAAACCTGCTAATTCTTGCATCCTTGCCTGCCACAGTTTGGTTGGTGTGTTGCAGCTCTCCTTGAAGAAAACAGAAGAGGCAGAGAAGTCTCTTCAGAATGTTGAAGTCGACTTGAGCATTGAACGATGGATTAAAACTAGCATCCGTTTGGTATCCTCAGTCGGTTTACTAGTACCATCACCAACAGTTGGTCTGAACAGATCCTTTGGTCTCTGTGCCAAGGTGGTGTCTCTTGTGAATCTAGTGCATATGAAAACTGGTGATGAAAGACTCAAACATCTTGACACACTTGTTGGCTGCTTGGAAAAACACAAAACAGAGGAGCTTCAAGTGTTGGATTTTGCAGGCCAAGCCATATTTTACAACACATGCAAACTGCCTGGCTCTGAAAAATCTGTAGCTGTTTTTTTATCTTTGGGTCCACAGCTTATTTCGTCACAGTCTACTGAGGTACTGAACTCTCACTCGGACTTTGATCAAAATCAATCTGACTTGTTTTTCTCATCTGTAAACAAGAAGCATCATTCCCTGTTTTTGACGATCCCACACAACAATATTCAAGGCGATATTTCTTCCCTGGGTTCTATCCTCCATAGATGTGTTTTAACTCTTTGTTCTCAACCATCATTCAGAAAAGGTTTTGTTGAGGGAATTGATGTCCAGAGGAAATTGACATTGCCAGTAAATGACATACCTTCCATTTGTAGGTTGGTTGACTGTCTTCCACTTCTTGTTGAACTGGAACTGTCAGAATTAAAAGAACAGCATGGTAACTTTGACTACTTGAATTCTTGGGAATCGTCAGGGAAATCTGTGAAACCATCAGTGCATGTCTCTTACTTCTCCTCTGAATGTTCCCTTCAGCGTGAGGCTGAGTTTGTTTTTCACCATTTGAACCACAGGTTAGAAGAAAAATTAGTAGTGAACAAGGGCGATGGTGCTGTTACTTGCGATGTTTTCCCTGCATTAGATGGCGCTTCTTTTGCCATTGAAAAGCCTGGCAAATCCTGTGTATCTATTTCTGTAGAAAACAAGTTTGTAATTGTCAAATGCTGCAGCTTCAAGGAGTCGGTTTTAGAGTTTGTTTGCTCATCAGTGCAGGATGCTCTTAAAAAGACTGTGGAATCTTTATGCTTCAGAGTGAACTTTAAACAATCTTCATGGCTCCCTGACAGCTACCTTGAAAGGTGTGGTGGTGTAAAAGAATCTGTAGGAAAAATCCACAGTGTGGATGAGTCCTCTCATTTGACTTTTCCATGTGCAGACAGCAGAGACCCAGAATCAGATTTAAAGAGACAAACAACGGTGGATGGGTTACAGGATGAGGTAAGTCGGGTCCTTTTACTTTCAGTGTGTCATTATGATTTGCATATTGCGGGTATGAAGTTCATGCTACTACAGCTAAAATTCCCTCCTCCCTTCCCTGTTGCTCCCCCATAAAAATACAAACTGAATAAATGCCATAAATACTATCCTTAGTCGGTCGACAGAGGAAACAAATATTACCTTTCAGTAAAGGTTACTGATAAATTATGATAGTTATTGGTAGACAGAATGATCAACCCCATAAATCGTGATGGGCAATGTAGTTTTGAAGCACGTTATGAATTATTATCAAATCAACATTTTTTCTGGAAATTAGAACAAATGACATGGATGATTCTTTTCCTTTTATTATAGGATGTGGAGATCAAGCCACTTTTTAGACGTCCCTGCGGTAAGTTGCCAGCAGACATGGATATTTGTTTGTGCCTTCTGGGGTACCTTTTGAGTCAAGTTAGACTTGAAGCCACTAAGAACGAAGCACTGGAAATTTGTAACTCTCCATCTGAACAGAACTTGGTGCCCGAAAACCAGTCCATATGCCTCGAATCAGATCATTCCATCACATCAAAGAAATCAGTAACTGACAGCTCCTCATCTGTTAAAAGTACAAAAGAATTGGATCCCCATCTTTCTCTTGATGTAAGTGATTTAGAAGCTGCTAGTAACAGGCCCATGACAAATTGCGAGGAGGGAATTGTGCAAAGCAGTCCTGGACAAGACACAAAGGAACCAGAGCAGTTGATGTCATCCATCACTGAATGTCTTTACGCAGGCAGAGAAGAAACTGTTACTCCACAAGTTTACAAAAACACACAGTCAAGTGTTGCAGATTCCAGTGTGCTTCTTCTGAACAATCAGACTGATCATTTGGATCAGGGGCAAGGTCCTTGTGAACCTGGTAACGGCATTTCAATACCATCATCAGTTGAGTTGCAACTAGAGATAAGACAACTGGAGGAGCAGCTGAAGCAGAGTGAAGAAGAAAAACAGAAACTTAGTGTTGAACTGGGAAAATACCTGTTCCTTGAAGACAAAGGAAAGCGCCATGGAAGGCTTCTTGGTGGAGCAGCTTCATTGCATGACCCAGGTTAGTCAGAGATGTTAAAAAAACTTATTAGCAAGATTCAAAATGCCGTAAACTGTAGCCAATAAGCCCCATTGCTGTAGGCCCATCTACTCGTAAACAAAAAAAAAACACATCCGGCTATATAAACCCCCCACCACCCTTTATCTGGCATTAAAATGAATTCTATTTATTATAATGCTTTCCCTTGTAATGAAGCTCAATGAAAAGCAGTACGAAACATACTTTGATCATTTTAAATGCTCTTTCTAGATTGGTTGTAAGCCCTAGCCCCCCTTTTAGAAGGCCCTCTAAAACTCATTATGAAAAGCCTAGGGCAAGCTGAAGTTTTTGGTAACTAATCTAGAACATGAAACATAGCAGAGTTGCAGGCAATAATAGGCATTGGATGAGACTGAGGAGGTTGCGAGGAATTGACCAGCCAGGAAGTTCTTTTGTTTTTCTTTTCTTTTTAGTTTCTTTGAAAGTAACCAGAGAAATTCCCCAGTTCCCAGCTCCTTAGTGAGAACCCTGTTTTGATAATAAGAACAGAGCCTTGTGACTTTTGGCTTACAACACCCAAGTTAGGAATATGAAGAATTGAAGATGGAATCCATTAGGAAATTGAGTAATTTTAATTTTCAGTGGACAAAAACCTTGTACCAGAATTATTTCAATCATATTGCATTCTTTTTTACACCTCTTGCAGGTTATAAATGTAATAAGTTATATGAAATAACTCCAAAGAAAAGGTTCTTATGAGAGCCAGAGAAAACAAACTTCACAAGCTTCAAATTTCACAAAATGAAACTTGCGTATGACGATTTAACCTGTTCTTCTCAATTCCTATGAAATTTGAAATTAATTTATTTTCTCATGCTCCCATAAGAACCTTTTCTTTCATATAACTTATTACATTTATAGCCCTTGAAAAATGTAAAAAGAAAAGAAGGGTATTGCATAAAATATTATGGTACAAGGATTTTGCCCACTGAAATGAAAATTACTCAGTTTCCTGATGTATTCTGTCTTAATTCTTTTCAATCATGCATGAAAGCTGAATTTAACTTCAATAATTATTTTATTAACCATTTAAACTTATAAAATCTTTACCTTAAGAGTAATTCTTAATGTAATTCTTGAAAACATTTGCCTTTTTATTGGTAGTTTTGGTTATGAATAGGTGTTTCTTGACCCTCAGATGGGAGAAACACATTTAAAGTTTGTAAATTGTAGTCATCCTGTGACTATTATTTTGGCTTTTTTTATGTAGCCAACAAAGAGCATTAAATTTTGTTAGCTGTTTCTCAGTTGAGGTGCAGAGAGCTGTAGGTTTACAAATGCACTACTTTCTTTTTTAGTCCAACATAACATTAGGGCTTACACTGTAACTGACTGAAAATTAATCATAATTATAGCATGTGTAAGATCATCACCTTTTTGTACGCAACTTGAACAGCTACAAAAAGGAAGCAGAAAGAAAAATTCCAGCCAGATGGCTTGATAGCTGAGTGGCAAGAGCACTTCACCAGTATCACAGAGGTCAGGGGGTTGAAGCCTGCATTTTTACACGCTGGGGGCTTTTGCTCGCCCTTGATCATCAATCCCATGGTTTGTGATCTGTTTGGCAAGGGTGATTTTTTATGTTTTGTTTTTCTTGATTTTTTTAGGATTTTCCCTGCACTCTAGACTTCTAGAGATCTCTAATTCATTATCATCAAAAGAGGTGAAGAAGATCAAGTTTCTGGTCAAAAGCAAAATCAGTGGTTTCAGACTTGCACAGATAACAGAGGCCTTTGAATTGTTTGAAGAACTAGAGACAAATGGAGTATTCCCCTGCGATTATATTGCAAACCTGCTTGCGGGGATTCAGCGATATGATCTTGTGGAGAAACTTGGAATACAGTTACCTCTAACAGCTGCAAAACTTGGTATGAGAATTCTTAATAATTTCTTGTTTTTATTATAGCCACAAACTCTAATATTGTTAGAAAGTGAATGTCAGAGCAGTTTGCTTGTATAGACCCTTCCATGTTTTCTTCACTTCTTGACAAGGATCAGTCGGCAGAAGTCTGTTGCCACCTTAAAATCAGTAAAGTCGCCAACTGTCAGAGTGTGATAAGTTGAAAAGAAACATCTATGACTTACAAAATCATAGGGTTTCGTGGACGTTTGATAGGGGAACTTTTTGGTGACTTGGCAAAACAATATCATCTCTCATTTCTGAAATATCACTCTTTGACTTGGCAACTCCTTATTTTAGTTTTTTGTGGCATTTATGCGAACAGGTCCTTGTCAAAAGTTATAAAAAAGTGGAAAGGTCTATTTTAAATCAGAACACGGGGCTGATCAGGAATTTTGTTTGTAGTGAAGTTGTTGTTTTAGTGGGGATGGGTGTGTCACCCCAGATACAAAGTTGGATATTCAGGTAAAGATAAGAAGGAAGGGGATGTGTTTCTAGGTCATGAAAGAGGGTGAACTGTTGCAAATCCCCTCCCCTCTCCCCATTCTGTTACATGTAGCATTCACCCTTGGAATTAAAAAGGAGAGAAGACTGGGGAAAGGCACTTGCTAAAGCAGATCTGAATGATTCCAAACCGAATGCAGTCTTCATGAGGATTGAAGCTTGATGGACGGTAATATAGTTGATTCACTGGATAGGGTAGCCTGTCTATCTAATTCTCAAGGACTGTGCTTATAATGGATGTCTGTACTTATTTTTTGACTAGTGTCCTTGATTGCTTATTTTCCTTCAGGGTCAGACATTCTTTCTGGACAGAGCTTGTCAGCGAGAGAAAATAGATTATCTGGTCATGTTGAGAATTCACCCGAACTTACACCTGTTAAAGATTACAGTTTGGGGGTACAACTGAACAGACATGGAGGGAAGCACCTTACAGGAAATGAAGTGTTTACGCGTGTCAATATCAGCGGAGACTCGATGCAATTGCAGGGTTTTGAAGAAAATGATAAATCATTAACAACAGAGAAAGCAGAAATTGAACAGGAGAAGATTTCATCACTTGCATTCAATGAAGGTTCAAGGGAAACCAACATGTACACCGCTGTCTCAAGTGAGAGTGAAAAAAGCAGTAATTCATCCATGAAGAGTGCTATCAGCGCTAAAGAAATGCACCAGTTCCCCACCCTTACTTCAGACGGTTATTTGCCAGATTCTAATGATAGTTCGTTATTGTCATCCAGTTTTGAACAAATCCCAGTGGTGGCTGATCCTAGTTGCACCTTGCAGTCCTCAAGTGACACAACGGATGGCTCACCTATTTTGACGACACTTTCTAGTAAGGCTTGTAGAAATAAAGAAATCTCAGGAGACACTGTCCCAAACGTAGCATGCACGAAAGAGCAGACTGAACGATCTTCGAAATTCTACTACGCTGACGTGGAGTGTGATGGCTCTCCAATAGTAGCATCACGCCATTTTTATTCAGCTGTTAAGAACAATGAATGTTTCTTGGCTGGTGGGGACGGAGAGCTTCTTGATAAAGCAACGGAGAAGTCTGAATGGGAAAAAATTGATGAAGAAAAAGAATTTGTTGATTCTTGTGACGGAGCAATAAAAACAGTACATTCTGGCACAAGTGCAGATGCAGGAACAGATTCCTCAGAGAGTTTTGTTGGTGAGATTGTTGGAACTCAGAGCGGGTCAAATGGAGGAAACCAATCATCAACACAATCATCCGCTGCAAGAGATTGGGAGTGTTTTGGTGCCAGACCAAAAAAGGCTCAACGTTCAGATGTTGAACCAAAGCCAACACGACCTGCTCTCTATATAACTGATGGCTTAGCTGGTGACTTCTTAGCAAGACACACCCAAGACAAGGCCCTTCATGACAGTATCTATCAAACTGACGTTGATTCTCTCTTCAATGACTTTCCATCACAGGGGACTTCCTTTATTGATGGTGGTATATCTCAATCTAGCAGAGCACAGCCTTACTTTGGGGATTGCCAGGCTGCATCTGGGACAGAGCCATTTGGTGGAACTGGACATTCACTTGTAAGTGGGTCTAACAGACATTCGGTTGGCCCTTCTTATGCAGAACCTTTCAGTGACAACTCAGGACCTTGGCCCAGCCATTTAGGACATCGTTCTTTCTCATTGTATAGTAACTATTTTTCAAGAAATACTTCAACTGTTGCAAACAACTATTCTCTTCAAAGTGATATGGTACATAGTAGCGGTAGATTTGCAGGAGTTGACCTTTTTGATGGACAGACTTATTTGGCATCAGCGCAGCAAACGCCCTATCTTCCTATAGCAAGTGGTCCTGTTTTAAATGGTTATCCAGGAATGACTGGTTCAAGTTTTGCTGACCCTTCATGGCCAGGTGCAGCACCAACACTACCTGGGGATCCTGTATATAATGCGCAAAGATTTAGTAGCACTTCGAATAAGCAGCTTACGGACCCTGCTCATGATGCAAATAGATTTGCTGGTAATGATGCCTCTTCAGCTTTTACTTGTAATCAGGGCACAGATGAGCCGGCTCAGAAACCAAATTTAGCACTTGGAAATTCAAGGACAACAACTGGAAACATTGATGATGAAGCAAATTCCTCTGCACGTTATCAGCTTGGAAATTCCACAACGTTTGATGGTGTTTTGGCAGCGAGATCTACTCATGATACATCTGTGTTAGAACCTCGTCTTGGTGACACCGACAACAGTAGCGTTTCTGTGTTAAACAACACAGACTTTGGTACTGATTCCGTAGAGGCCTCGGACAACTCATTGCTTGCTCTGGAACGGCGTGTCGCAGAAGCTTGTGCCCTTGTGGAACGTGTCCTTCGGGAGAGAGAGGAACGAGAACAGTTTGGAAGGGAGATAGAAAGGAAAGAACAGTTGATCAGAGAACAGAGAGCTCGAGAAAGGAGAGAGAGAGAAGAGAGAGAATTGCGTGAAGCTGAAAACTGGCCACAACAACAAGAGGCTATCAACGCACGTTCACAGTGGTTATGTGAACATTATCAGCGGCACTGCAGAGTGCGATTCCCTTGTTGCACTCAGTTCTATCCATGCCATCGCTGCCACAACATCTCAAAAGCTTGTGACAATGAAGAGGCTAAAGCTTGTCATGCCACTCATCTGAAGTGCTCTCACTGTCAGCATGAACAGGAGGTAACTTTTTCTAACGTAAAACTAAGATCTCTTTTCAACGTACCTTTTAGTAAGCTGCTCTTGAGAAAGGTATTGCCTATCCTCAGACGTTCCTGAAACCTTGATGAAGATCTACCTTAAACTGTCTGAGAGTAAGGGTTACATTAATAACATTGAGGTCTCCCTCACTGAGTGTAAATGGAGAAAGGTTTTTGAATAACTCACTAAGGATTATAGAATGCGTAGACTTGCCCACAAGTCCACTTTTTTGAGCGACCAAAGTAAGTAAACTTGGAGGTAAAAGCAAACCTGAAGAATTTCCTCGAATATTTATCACGTTATATCAGGTGTTTGCGTAAGTATTATGTTTAAGATAATAGTGATCAGGAGGCTCATTTTTGGACTAGTAAGCCTGGTTTCCATATGATCTGGATGTAGATCGGCGACCAGTAGGTGTTGCGTTTCAGACATATACTTGGTACCATTTCCCCCTAAAATAGTGTCAAACAAAAGCGGCATGTTTCAGTCACTCAAATAAATAGGAGCATATTTCTGTAGTGTCTAGATCGTCTCAATTCGTCCGGTGTAAACAATTTCCGATCATATCGCAGATTGCCGTAGACCGTTACAGATTGCAATGGCATTTTACTCCCACCATTTACACATTTGGTTATACAATAACAGAGATTTAAATATAGATTTACAGTCAACTCTTTCTTAATGGACATCTCTATATAAGACGGACACTTTCCTAAAATGGACCCCAAAGTTGGTCCCTGCCATTCGTTAGTTAGTTTCCTTGAATCTCTTTAACGTAAACTCTTCTCTAAGATGGATATTAGCGCTGGTCGCAACAATGTCTGTGTTAGACAGAGTCGACTGTGTTAGCATTAGGGTTAATCATAGGTGGTGCGCATTTTGGCTTCTTGTGTCTCTGAGTAAAGTTCTGTGATGCCACTGCGTGAATGTCTCAGAAAACATCCCTGGCCTTTCCATTGCTGCTTAACTTCCCTTGTAGGCAAAAATGTTTAATGACTTTTTTTTGTTATAGATTGGCGAAGACAGTGCCAAGTGCCGTAAGTGTGGAGGGAAAATGTCTGCTTATTTCTGTGCCATCTGTAAACATTTTACCAGTGTGGACAAGAATCCCTATCATTGCGAAAAATGTGGAATATGTCGGTGAGTAACAATATTGTATTCTTTGTTGTAAAATAACGTTTTATGAGCGATCCCAAACGTGACATCTTCAAAGTCATTCTCAAAAGCAGCTGTTGTGCAGTTTTAAATTTTGGGTCAGACTGTGGGTTAATTCCCTAGGCGTGGCCACTCACATAAACCTTTTTATCAGTAAGTATTTGGAGTTTAATTTTAAACTCTTCAACGAATCAAAGTTTCCATCAGGGCTCTTAGTGATCTCAGCAGATGGTTCCACCGCATGGTTGCCACTGGTCAGGAAATGATCACGGAAAAAAAATTGTTCGAGGTGGTGGAAAAGTCATGGAATCTTATTTAGAGTCAGGGAAAATACAACATCACTTTTAAAATACTATTTAAGGCTGAAAGATTAGAAGTATTTGAGGTCACTTTGATCTCAACGTTGTTTTTCTTTTAATGAACAAGACGCTCGAGTGCGTGAACCCGGCCTTCTTTTAGTTTACAATTATATAGCGGGAAAATGTGCAGTATGTAATTATCGCACTACAGCTCAAATGATATTTCAAGGGTATTTTGCCTCCGAAAGCCAATTTGCCGCAAATCGATCACGTGATATTTCGCCTCTTCACGCATGCGTTTTAAAGAGCAGACGGTGATTTGTGGACGAAGAAAAAACTAAAAACCAAGGCCAGAACTATGCCCGTCTCTTCCTGAAAGGAAGACCTAGTAAAAAGGCGAAATGTTAATTTAAAAATATCAGTGGGTGGAAAGGACAGTGGTAAGGGGAAGCTGGAGTCCACTACTGTCGTATCTTACTATTTGTATTTATTTGGTCATGGAAATTTTGAGCAGGGAAAAGTCGGAGAATTTGAAAAACTGATGTTGGTGTCATCCATGCAGGGAAAGCATGAGTGATGCAGTGGTGAGAGCACTTGATTCCACCAAAGTGGAAGTGACGCCTCATGTTGGTTGAGTTTGTTGTTGGTTATCTTCCTTGCCATGAGAGGTTTTTCTTTCAGGGGTACTCCAGTTAAATAACCAACATCTCCAAATTCCAATTTTAAGCAAAATATGGTCCACAAAGAGCCACTTTGTGGATATGGTGCCACTAAAATCATATTATTTTTATTATTCATAATTTTTTTTTAAATTCTGGGCAGTTTCTGTCGCCCCTAATATCTCGGCTGAATTAGGGCTATAGGCACGAGATGTCAGTGGCTTCTTTCTTACTCTTCCCAACCTGTTCTGTTGGCTCTCCTACTAAACCTACGATATTAGCAAACTCTTGCTTTCATTGTCCTATCTATTTCCCCAGTGTGGTCCATTCCATACTGTTCCCAATCAGTTCTGGTCCAAAAATGTGCGACTCACAATAACATAATCCCTTAAGTTAAAATCACTCACAAACTGTGAAAACCTTTTGTTCCTTTTTGCCATGTCCAATTCACTTAAGCGATTGTTATTTAAATGATGTTTTTTTTTTGTACCACCCAGGATTCATCAGGACAAATCATTCCACTGCGAAGTGTGTAATGTGTGTTTGGACAAACGGCTAGAGGGGAATCACAAGTGTCGGCCTGACTCGGGCCACGATGAATGCTGTATTTGCTTGGAGGTGAGTTTTAAACTCTATTTTTAACGTGGGAGGTGACAATTGCAGAACTTTTTTCTCCTGGGTGACTTAAACGTGAATGGTGTGAGGTTTCTCGTGGGAAAAATGGAAATAGCCCTTAACAGCATTATTTGTTTATTTATTTATTTTATTTACAAGCTTTGTAGCAGGGCCTGGAACACTCACAGAACAAGCTTCATTACGAAGTCCCAAAAAAATGCATGTTCTGCGCTCTGTTTCTATACTTTTCCTATTGCACTAATGGGGAGAATTGGTTTAACAGTCAAGAACGTTTGCTCTGTTTGATTGTCTTTCTTAGTTTTACTGTATGGAGAATTCAAATGTTTGTCACCCCTGGAGCTTAAAGGATTAAACCACCAACTGGGATCAATTTTGGCGTTAATTGTGTCAACAACAAAATTCTCGAATCTGATTGGTTCTCACGTACTCCACTCAGTCGTACTACCATTACTTATTAAGCCTAAAAGATACCATTCTAACACAGATAGCCAAATAAGGGATAAAGTTACTTTAACTGCTATAAAGATGTCATGAGTGGTGTCTTGTGTGATCGGTCTTATTACTACCAACACAGTATGGTGAAATTTATTTATTTCTTCCCACACATTCCTAAGCGATACCTGCAAAGGGAAATAAATAAAATGTGCAATTTTCAAGGTTTAAGCGAGGCGACGAGTATCCCGTCCCTTTTACATCCTGGGAGATGATCTATACTGACATTGCTGACTTGAGATCATCAGTCAAAAGTGCAGAATACAGTAGAATTATTTTACTTTGACACAGATGTTAGCATTTTAAACTATGTCTTCTGTGCGCATCCCACTTGTGCATGATACAATCTTACTTATTTGCGTTGAGAAACATATTTTCCTATCTTCCTTCCATCCAGGGATGGGGGTGGGAACGACTGGGAAGCAGAGTGGAGGCTTGATACTGCCTCCCTCTCTAACGAATTACACCCTAGGTAACTCAAATGATCTACTGGTAGGGCGGCTGTTCTCTGAAAAGACAGTCAAGAATAGGCCTTTTAAGTAGAACATGGCTGTAACAGTACACTGCCGCGTTCTCACTAAGTTTATGTTGCTTGTATAATACCTTACATAACTTACCGCCTTCTTGTTCATTGTTTCGTAGGATGCATTCAGTGGATGCCAAATATTGCCTTGTTCACACAAGGTTCATCGTGAATGTGCCATTGCCATGATCCAGAATGGCATGTAAGTAATTCCGTCTAATCTTGACATGGCATAGAGCTGTGTGTTGTATTATATGAAGCTGAGGGAGGAGATTCACCATTCTTGTTGTAAGGGTCTTATGACCTATTCAGTTTCATGCACATTGTATTGGCTAGGTGATAGATTGTTTGGTAAGCTGGTTAATCTGATTGGTGTACATGTGAATGTGAATGATTTTAGGATGGGTCGAAGGAGCTTATGATGATTTCCTTCAATTTTTCTTTGTGTATGCCAAGTATTTCGTTGCCCTAATTAGCATGACAGGAGTGAAGCAGTACCTTCCTGTGGCACCGTTTTTTGTGTTGCACAAGGAGATTCTCAATTTGGAGTCTGTCCATGGAATCCTAAAGTACGATCACTCAAGTCCAGCATTCAAAAGCTACTGAGCAGTACTTACCTGTGGTACTGTTTATTATGCTGTTCAAGGTGGTTCTCCTTTAGGATCTCATCGACAGACTCAAAAGATAATTATCACCATTAAAGTGAAAGCTACTGAGCTATACTTGTCAGTAGTACTGTTTGCGGTACGAGATGGTTCCTTTCATGCAAGAATAGTTTTTGGTCAGATTTATTGTATTGCGCTTGAGCGCGTGTAGTTTGACCACAGGGGCCCAGACGTAGTATGTGTCACTGAATGAATATATTAATATTCACATAGACAAATTAATGCGATGAGTCGTCGAAACTCCCATGGACTAAAATAGTCCAAAAGTCAAAATATAACAAAACAAAGCTAAGATACCTTCAACTGAACGTATCCTTGTCTTTCCTGGCCGGTTTAAGTGGCATTTTGTTGAGTTTTGCAATTGTAGGTACTATCCACTAAAGAGGAATTAAAGGCTGGCTACAAAACAAACAGACCGTCTCCACGCGCCTTCACACGAAGCGCTATAAATTCGAAAATAATCGACGAATCCGCTCCAAATAACCATCGGCTAATCTGCAGGTAACGTGTGCTCCTGCTTCTGGCTCGCTTGCTCCACAAAACCCATCGCAACTGTACAATAATTGCTCGCTCATCAACAACCACTGTTGACCTTTACGCTTCGATGTGACCGCAAACGACCAGGTTTAATACGCGACGTGAATATTCAAGCTTAGCGACCGCGTTCGCGCAACAATGCAGCACACGTTACCTGCAGATTAGCCGATGGTTATTTGGAGCGGATTCGTCGATTATTCTCGAATTTATAGCGCTTCGTGTGAAGGCGCGTGGAGATGGTCTGTTTGTTTTGTAGCCAGCCTTTAATTCCTCTTTAGTGGATAGTACCTACAATTGCAAAACTCAACAAAATGCCACTTAAACCGGCCAGGAAAGACAAGGATACGTTCAGTTGAAGGTATCTTAGCTTTGTTTTGTTATATTTTGACTTTTGGACTATTTTAGTCCACGGGAGTTTCGACGAGTTATCGCATTAATTTGTCCATGTGAATATTAATATATTCATTCAGTGACACATACTACGTCTGGTTCGCCTGTGGTTTGACGGTCCTCTTGTTGGAGTCCGAACGGGACCCAGAGTTGAGATGGAATTAAACAGTACTTGTACCTGTTGCCTTTGTGTAACGTCGTTGTGATTGTTCTAACTTTGAAGGCTGTAGTTAACATACTAAATTGTGACCATTTAATTACTAAGGAAAGCTACTGAGCAATACTTTTCCTGTGGTGCAATGCATAAGGTGGTTCTTACTGTTGAGTCTGCGTTTTAGTTAGGTGTTGAGTGTGTGGGCATTTATCTTAAATTTAAAATGAAAAAAAAAGCAGACTGGTTTTTCCTATTCATTGATAATCCTTATTATTATTATTATTATTATTATTATTATTATTATTATTATTATTATTATTATTATTATTATTATTATTAAAAATATTATCACACATTCGGTATTAATGAAATGGTTATTCTTTTTGTTGTAGTCGCACCTGTCCAATTTGTCGGCATCCACTTTACAGTACTACGCCAAGGGAATGAACAACCGATATATCTCACTTCTTGAGCAAATTATCAGGACACAACCTTAAGTTAAGGTTCAGGTAGGAACCAGCCTGTAGCTCTTCCTCTCTCCTGAGCTGGCCTGTCGGGATTATTTTGACCTTGCGTATGGCTCCCATAAAGAAGAATCGTTGCGCAGTGCGTAGTGGTGACACTTAAAGTTTCCAGCGTGTTAACAAGTTTTCACAAACAGGCTTGAAATCATCAATTATTCGGGGGTAGAGGAAACCATCAATTATTCAGGACCAAAGGGAAGAAACAGAAATCAATGAGACTTGCTGATGTTCGTACAAACGTTTATGAAAGGCTTTTGTGTGGGCCAAGGATCATTTAACACTGATTAAGAAATACTTAAATCGTTTGACTATAGTGGAGATGCAATGCTACAGTCAGTGACTGTTTGTTTCCACACGTTGTTGTTATGATCGTGGCTTCTTTTTTGACGTTGACTTGTTTTTGGTGAAGGCACATTGCAGAGAAAGGAGGCCAGTTCCCCTTTTTTAGCAATGTCCGTGGGTATTCGGTGGACATAAAGGAGATTCCCAGTTAATGAGATGAACACCTTTTGTTCGCATAATTTAACAGACTGGGAAAGCCAGTGAAAATCAAAACAAAAACAAACAAACAAAACAGACCTAAAAATTAGCTCAGAAGCCTTAATTAACAGTTTTGTTTATTTTCTGTTGTGACATGGAGTGGGAAAATAAAGCAAACAAACAAACAAACAACGTGAGAACGTCCAAGAAATTGTCGAAAAAAGAGATAAGATTTATATATGATATGTATATGATAAAGAGACATTTATATTATGTAAAATGATTGAAATTCTTCGTCATCATTTAGTACTTTTTTGTACATTTATTTTGTATATTTTTCATTACGGCTGCGATAGTGAACGATCATAATTTATCAGTTTTCGACACATTCATTTTGTCTAAATAAAACAACTTCTTCCAACAAGGTGTAATTCCATTCCCGTGCTCTGGCTTTCACCCTTTCTCCAAATAAGATTCCTTCTTAGTGATCAAATTTATTGTTATAAAACGTTGTCCTGTCTTTTTCCCTTCGAGAGAGCATCTTAAGGACCAACTTGCTAGCTCAGGCAGCTAACGCGGAACGCGGAACGCGGGATTTGCTTCATCTTGCATTTTCTCGGAGCCAGCTTTAGGGTCCTCACAAGAAGTCAGAACTGGCCAGCCGGACCGGTCATGCTGAAAATGAAATATTAGTCGTGTCTCGAAATTTGTGCTTAAACCCATCACTGCTGTACATACAGTTTAGGAATAAACTGGTCTGGCTGGCCGGCCCTTTAATAGTGGAATTCCCCTTAATACGACTGGATATGTAAGCATACGCGCGTATACCCGCACCGCTGGATGTAATTTACAGTGTCACTGAAGGTGTTAGGATTAAGGATTCGAGTAACAGGACATCAGGAGCCTATTACACGTATAGGAATGAAACCCCACGTCCGCGCATTACGGTTCAGATGATTTTCCATTATTAATGAGCTGCTTGTCGCGCCCAACTATGGAATGGGCTTTCTCCGTCGAAAAAGGACAAAAATGGCGGACGGCTCACCCAGAAGGTGTTGCTTGTCCCACTCCCTCTTCAGTAGGACCGATTTTTGCGGGAAGGGGATGGGTCATTTTAGGTCGTCTGGCGAACAAATTTCGATTTGGAACGAACACAAAATTATTTCGTGGAGTTATTGGCCCTATATCTGCGCTGAATGATTATCTAAAATGTTGTTAGCCTGTGCGGGAGCTGCAGTAACAATGCCCTCCCACGGTGCCAACGGAAAATGCTTCAACTCGTTGTAATTCTCTCCGTGTGATAAGTCTTTCCCTTACAATGAAGGAATATGCTATTTGTAAATCGCTCAGTCAAATAGAAACATATTCACCTGCCATGGACAGTTAGATGGGCTTTAAATGCAATATTCAAGAGAAATAAAACTGAAACTTAATTTGCTTTGCGAGTTTTATGAAACAAGAATTTACAGTTAGTTAATAGTATTTTACACACCGAAATTGCCGTCACGTTTTATAAGCGTAGAACGACAATAATTTTTGAATTTCCGGTTATATCTAATTAGTCACGCTATATTGTCATGCTATATTTTAGGGGGCAGAGAGATTGGGGGAAGGGGCGGGGGTGCGTCGTGGAAGTGTCCCAGTTAAACATAATGCAAATCGTTTCTTGATTCAAAAGGCCAAGTATAGATATAGATCTCTATCCCATTCCACCGGTTAGGAGTAGCTATACACCAAAGCGGGAAAAACGTGTAATTATAATCTATACTTCTCAAAGTATAAACCACTGTCACCACTGGATTGGGCAGTCGGCAGCCCAATGAACCTCCACTATGGGGGTGTTGTTTAATGCTTCTGTAAAGAGCTGATCGGAATCCCATCCAGAATTTTTCCAATTGTGTCTAAATTGATTCCCGTGATGGAATCAATTGAAGGACTAAAAGGAATAATCGGCTCCTGAAGGAAGCTATCTCAAATGAGGGTCATAATTTTTCGGGCCGATGTTATGGACCAAAATTTGAGGGAAGGCCAACTTTCTTGGGCGCTCATTTTAGACATTTCATTTTTTAAAGACATTTCGTTTATTTATTCATTCATTCATAAATTTCTTGTCTTGGTAAAAACTTCATTCTCTGATTCCGGATTCCGATTCCAAATTTTGGATTACGGGTTCCTGTACAGTACCGCAAATGATCCCCAGCCGCAAATGATCCCGAGACCGCAAATGATCCCCAAAATGGACCGCAAATGATCCTCGACCGCAAGTGGTCCCCAAAGTCGACCGCAAATGATCCCGAAAGAAAAATAGGAATGGCTTAGACTCGAGTTAGCGGATCGTCGTGGCGATTTTATTATTAATACAAAAAGTAAGATTAAACGCTAAATTTCAGTTCTTAAATAAATACGTATATACATGAATGAAAACTAAATGAAAAAAATCATTCAAGTGTAAAACGAAGTCGGTAGGCAAAACACGACTTTTAGCTCATGCCAAAATGCTGCTTGTTCTAATGAATTTTTTTCTCTGGCGGGTAGATTATACCTGAAGGAAAACGTTTTGACTGAGCAAATGTGATTTTTGCCGCTTATTTCATACTGAGAGGTCATGACACGCATTTTCTTCGGTTATTGTTGTTTGTGGTCGGCATGATTTGCTGGATTTGTCCTTTAATGCAGGAGCATTTCTTTCACCTCTTTTGAAATGCAATGCTTCTCGTTCCGGCTAAATAAGGGTTTTAGGTTGTTTAATTTTCTTTTAAGTGCCTCATGGATCCGAACAATTATAAGCGACTTTCTTTTAGTCCGTGAATGTGACGGTTTCTTCGATGTTTTGTCACGCGATAACTACCGCTTGCCTCGCTTTTGCGTTTCTCATTACCAGGTTTAGATTCCTGGTAACTGTCTACAGCAAAGGCAAAAAAATGGATATACATATAAGCGTCAATATAACTATTCGCAACATGTTCATGAGCTGTAGGCAAGTTGCTCTTTCAAAATTAACCGAAAACTGTGGACATCGATAAGTTCGGTGGCATTTTGACGTGTGTTTATTTCAAATCACGTCTTGTTTTTTAACGGGCACTGCCAGGCCTGGGGCACTCATAAGTTACGAACCAATGTCTTGCTGTTTATCACGTAAAATTAACACTTCAGAGAAAAATCAAAACTAAATATTCTGAAAATTAATTCGACGCTTCTAAAAAGATATGTAGAGGGTGCCCGGCTTTGTATTCCTCAGTAGACAAGTTGAGCTTGGGCGTTAAAATAATAGAGTTTTTTCTACGTAACGTCCTGCCTGTCTTAAATTTTCAGCGACGAAACAGTTCTTGAAAGAAAATTGAAGCAATTGACAAAGGAAGAAGTATACGGTTGATACCATATCCTCTTCAGATTTATTCTACTTTTTTTTTCGCCTTGTATAAATTGACCTGAGATGTAGCGTCCTCCTTCCCTTTTTCTTTAGAAGGTGCGAGAAAAAGGTTCCTTTTTTTTATAATCAGTCCTTTTTTGTAATCAGTCCCATAAAATCCATTCCATTCCTCAAGTTTTCACGGGATCATTTGCGGTCAACTTTGGGGATCACTTGCGGTCGGGGATCATTTGCGGTCCATTTTGGGGATCATTTGCGGTCTCGGGATCATTTGCGGTTGGGGATCACTTGCGGTACTGTACATTCCTCCATTTTCGCTTGAAATTCGATAATTGTGTCGAGAATTGCGTGTGATTATAAACAAGGTGAGAGCGGCGAGATTTATTTGGGGTTTCCTTCTTCGTTCTGTGCAGTATTATTGGACTTCGTGCATTGGTAAGCATGTTAATTTCTCTTTTATTAGTTATTACTTTTGGTTGTAGCACTAATTTACTGGGTTGCTGGGACCCTTTTACGGCATTTCCTGCCGGTTATGGCGCCCGTAATAAGCTTAAATGAAATGGAATTACGTGCACACTGTAGCGTACAGCGAATGGATTTATTTATCCAACTATAACTTGGGTTCAATAGTAAATAACCTCAGACATAAGCTTATAAGGAACTAATAAGCCATAGGCAGCTCCTGTTCGAGTAGAAACGCTCCTGAAAACAAAGAAAGATCTCTACCTCAGAAAATGACAAACATCGATCGATCAGATGAATTAATTTTGGTAATGACGAAGAGACAAACCGCGGAGCAAGCAAGCGAGCAGCCCACACGAAAACTAAACTAAACGACGTACAAATTGTTTGTTGTTTTCATGTCGTTTTCAGCTGGACGTTTCTCGCTGAATTGAAAATCAGTGCGTTTATTAATTTATGGTCACCTCGCTGAACGATGTTGTGGTCTTCATTGTCATGTCGTTTTAAGTTCAGTGGCAGGCAGGCTGATTTGTCGAATGTGTACTGCTGTATTATATATGCTTGTGGGACTAACTGTTGCTCGCGTTGCAAGCGTTGTTTCCCTTCCCCACTCGCTTTAAGGGACTCTTGAAGTTCGATTTCACTTGAATATGCCATTGGACAGAATAACTTTCAATTAACTCTTGTCTTAACTCGACCTAATTTCACTTCCTCCTTTGGGCCAATTTTCAGTCCTTGAGAAAAAGAAATCTCGGTGCATTTTCTTCCTTTTGTGAAGTTTTTGATGTGCCTGTCATCGGCTGTCTGGTGTGGATGCGTGGTCGAGGCTGGGGGGCAAATACAACTTAATTAGTATGAGGACTTTTTTGGGGGGGGCACTCCCTTATATAGCCTGGGGATGTGCTGCTGAACATTCTGTGGTTTTTGACCTCTCTGTCTTTAACGTGGTATATATAATTTCAAAAGTCCGTCAACAGGATATTGCCAGCATGATTGATATGATTTGCAAAATGGATTTTGTCTGTACTCCAAGCATACAAAAGCGATGACAATGACGTGAATTTGCTTTGTAACAATTGCCAATAAATGGCTTTAAAGCACTACAGTGTTCCTTTTGTCATTTTGCCCTAAATGGGGAAATGAAATTGAGGGCATTGTCCTAAACAGGGTATGCATTTTGGGAACTTTTTGTCCTAAACAGGGCCAGGGTTTCAAACTGTCAGCGGCTCACCTTGATATCCAAGTATTGGTAGAGTACCCCCAGGGGGGGGGATTTGCCAGGCATTTTTACCCTGGAGTTGGAGGAAATGAGGAAGGTTCTATTTCCAAAAGCTGTACACAGAGGGGAAAATGGGACTTGGGAAAGGAAAAAGTCAAGAACATGAAAACCACTGTGTAGGAGAACTTGGGTTCACTTTCTTCTCATGAAATTAAATGCAGATTGGATAACTTAAGGTATTGTTATGGAAATGCCTTTCAATCATGTTATTCCTTATATTTGCTACTCTCAATGCGCTTTGATTTTATGCTGCTCAATATGATCCCCATTTCAAAGAGACAGGGCGGTTGTAACTTTGATAGCTCTGTGTACCTCTATGAATGGAAAATAAAGAACTTTGACGGTAACCTTGGCAAATTCCCCTCCCTTACCTGGGGATCAAGTAATGCGAATTAAACTGGGATCAATATAACGGTCAAACATAACTCTTCTGCTCTCTGTGATAAAACTAAACTTCGTTTTGACATGAAATTAAGCCCGCCCATTTTAAGACCTGGCTACTAAAATCCATTCCGGTTTTTAGAGTTCTGGATCATTTTTTTTTTTGCCAGAGTATCAGTCACAAACGTGACATATGTTTATACAGGTATAAAAATTGTGTCTTCATTGCTTAGATTAGGTTGACTGCCAACAAAAGAATTAATAATATTGTTAAAATTTAGTTTGAATGATATGTTTCAGTTTTTTTTTTACTCTTTCTTAGTTGACAAATACCATTACATTAGAGAGTTTTAGATCCGAGTTTACCACGAACCTCTAACCGCTGGAGGTCACGTGACAAGTCATTCGCATCACGTTTGAGGTTTACAACGTGCGTTTTCAACGTGGGGAGCTGAGTTTTCACGTATGTCATTTACCTGAAAGCTTTTAGCGTATAATTCTTGTTTCATCTCACGTAATGATACAAAAATCTTGTGGAGCAAGTCTTTATACATTAACAGAGGTACAAATTCGGGCGAAATGCTAAATTTGATAAATCCTATTGGATCTTGAAAACAAGTGCCATTCATGGCTGCTGATTCAAAATGGCGGCCGTAAAATTGCAAGAAGAACTAATGTAAGAATTTACAGCTCTTTGCTGCTAGATAACCCAGTATTGCCGTAAATTTCTTTTATTTTCACTGATTAATTTTTCTTCTATTTCTAAATGGAAAAATAAACCAGAATCCACTTGTTTAATCCACCGCCAATCTAAATCGAATTATGTTTGAACGTCGAACCGCAAACGGGTAACCGCAAACCGCGGTTAGAGGTTCGCGGTAAACTCGGACCTAAAACTCTCTATTGTGTACACTCTAACTTGTGGCTCCCTTGAAAACATTACCCAATTTCAGACTAGAATGAGCAAAATCCATACCTGTTTTCAGACCTAAATGGCTCAAAAACCTTATACCCTTTGGGGCGGCACATACATGGCTCATATAAAAGGGAGTCCTGCCCCTGGGGAAGTGAGGTACAGCACTGGTTCAATATAGAGTGGCATGACATTTATTATCTTTAATGTTTCATGGGACTGCATGGTAGTGCAAAGGGTTTTACCTCATCTTTCAGTTTGATGGTGTTTTCATCTTTTATCAGTCACAGAGGATCACAGTCTGATCGCAAACTGTGTTTTGTGGTTGTCACTGGTCAGCTGTGAAACTCTGCTACACATTGTAACAAGGATAAGGTTTTTTTTCGCAACCATGCGTTGAAGGGGCTGTGTTATATGCTTTTTGCAACAGAATGATATTTTGCCATCATGGAGATTCTGTTGTTCGTAAGAGTGATTAACTGATAAACTTTCTCTTTTAAACCAACTCATTTTTACATTGCTCCAGAAGGACTTGTCTATGAGCTGCAGCCTTGTCTGACATTGACTTTGAGAAATGCATAATTTCAGAATTACTTTGGCATAAGCACCAATGTCCTGCTGGACGGTTACTGGTTTCTAACTCAAACTGACTGTGGCTGTATGAAGTACAGTTTTTATCCTCTGAAGACGATGGGAATTAACTTTTAAAATTGGTTGCCTTAAATGCCACCACAGTAACTTGCTGCAGGTGTGCATGCTCTTGTTAATCTCATGATTATAATTTATGGTCATTCTTGATATAAATACTATCATTATACATTCAATCATTAATTCTGATTGGCTTTAATTTCTCATCTACTTCTTCATAACCAGCTGACACTGACCAAAAATTAATTTGGATGATGTGTGGATAATATTATTCCATCATTAAGGCATGCAGTCTGAATGATGTCAAATGATGGAATAATCGCAAAGTATCAAGTATCTTTAATTGACGACTCATGCCAGACCACAGGACATGGATAATTATACAGTTAAAATGCACATAAACATCCATTATTAAGTGTACATACCTCATAAAAAGTTGAGTCTGTAACTTGTTTTCTTACAGTTTCCAGCCCTATAAATGCCATTTTAGCAATTACTTTTGATGTTTTTAGTTAACTCGGCTGTCTTACTCAGCCCGAAGAAAAAGCTCCAAAATTACCTTAGTTTATTCTACTCTGGTGGCAGCACCTAAACTTCACTTGAGAGCTCGGACTTCCCAGTTCCATATAAAAAAAGTTCAAATGAGAAAACTTCACCTAAGAAAGTCCTCAAAGGCACCATCAGTCAAAATACAACACTCTATATCCATAAACACCTGAAAATGATGCTTGCATGACTATATCTAGAACATTTTAGATTTACAGTAATTGTATAGTACGTAGAGGCCATAAAAGCAAAGGATAATAAAATCACTGACATCAAAGCAAAGAGCAAGAACATTGTTACACAAAAGCTAATTATTTGAAGTACTCAATTCATTTTGTTTCTTCTTCTGCAAAGCAACTAAGCTTAAATATGGAGGCATTCATAATTAATACTTATCTTCAAAAAATTCTTTTATGAATTGATCAAAAACACTCGGTGTTCAAATTCTGCTGGTAGCTAATTAATACTACTTTGAGAAGGCTTCTTGAAAAGTTACATGTGGAAGAGTTTAATTTGTCAGTAAACTGGTCTCGTAAAGTCCATCGCTAGTTGAACTGAACTGTTCGCTTGCCATCTTTTACTGTAGTATACCTCACCAAGTGTCACACCTAAGGCGTGATTTTCACGCCTGCAGATCGAAAACTTGGATCTCACACCTACTCACACCTGTGTTCCAATTTGTCATGCCTGGTAGAAAAGTTTGAGCTATTACAGCATTAACTGACACATTATGAAAAATTTTATTGATTATTTAAACAAACCAGAACCAAAGAGAGAAAAGAAAAGTCTATGTGCACGTGGATGATTGACTTTCTCCAAATTCTCTTTTTTTAGTAGGCAAGTCAATGTTCCTTTGTGTTTGTGTTAGACGGAACTCTTCGTAACACCTTCAGAAGTCTTCAGAACATCTTCAGACATCTTCGGATATTATCGGACCCCTACGAAAAATCTTGGCACTCTTAAGATAAAAAATGTCACGCCTACAAATGTAAAAAGGTTGCAGGTATACTGTAGGCCTAGACTGAGATAAACAGTGTGTGCATTTGGTATAAAGATTTCGTGTATAAGAAATGACAGAATTCATTCTTGTGATCACTGAATTTTATACACCAATTACAGATGGCTTAATTTGCTCACTTCAACAGGCAAGTTGCTGGTTTAGTCTGCTGGCCTATTTCCAGCACACTCTTATCTTATATATAGCACATACACTGTATGCACTATGAGAGAGTGATTTGTGGCAGCAAAAAAGTGAAGCCCATTTTTTAGCTTGGGTGTTCCCATGGAAATGCTTGAACAAAAAATTGAACTTAGCGCTCCAGGGAACTGCTCAGCTTCTTTGTAATGTACTACCAATGACCATTGCTCTTGGCTTACTGTAGCCACGCTACACATTCAAAATCCCCTCAACTGTGTAGGGACCCATTTTTTCCCACCACTTAGATTTGTAAAGTAATGGAAAGCATTCCCTGGGTACCCCTGCGAATGTGATCTGTCTGGGTTGATTTTTCGTCTGTTCCTCCCCGTCAGGGTAATTTTGAACATGCGGCATATATGGCTACTAAGCTAAGAGCAATGGCCATTGGTAGTACATTATTTTGTACTCTAAGAAGAAGAGTGGTTTCAAGGAAGTGCTTAGTTCAATTTTTTTTGTTACAATTGTCGTCCTCTTGAGCTCATGACTCGATGTTTGGAACTAATTTGACATTTTCAAGGAAGGAAAATCTTCAGTCTATTGCTCAAGTGAAGTTTTGGAGTGATTGGTGTAGAATGAGGGTAATTTTTGGAGGTTTTTCTTTGGGCAGCGTAGGACAGAAATTTTTCCTTGTCTTCTTTTTAGTAGGTGAGAAATTAAACCAAAACATCAAAACTTGCTAAAATCATGGCTTTTTATGGGGCCTGAAACTGTTAGAAAACAACACAGCTGACACCACTCTTTACAAGGATTTTGCACTAAATTGGCTGTTTCGACCACTGTACATAATTTTATCTGTTTTATTGATCTTACAATAAATTCCCAAACAAATCTCTAAAATTTGGCTTCCAGTACAGGCTGTTGAGAGTCAGGGTGCCCTGTGGCCAGACAGCAGCTTAATCACTAAGGCAGCTAATACATGTATAGCTATGTTTTAGCAGAACTCGAGAATATGGCAAAAGACCTCACAGCTATTCAAAGAGAAAATTGCTAAGTTACTGACTAGAAATTATTATATATGGCATGCAGCATATGCAAAAATGCCGCTTGATGGATGTCAACTGCTTTTTGTGCTGGCTATTTTGAAGAAATAACTCAATATGTCAGTGGGCTGAGCGTGTGTGTTTGCATCTTTGTGGTTCATATGTTGCAGAGTAGTGGATGACCAATTAGGCTGAAGGTATGTACTACTGGGTTAATAAGTGATACCAGGAACCAATCAAATTTTAGCATTTAATAAATTCACTCCTAAAGGTCAAACAGTAGGGTAAAAGCAGCTATCACATTTTCAGCCGGTATTTTGTTGCTTTTTTCTTCTTCGTGTACAGAAATACCCAATTTTGGGACCAACAATTTCGAGCAATAATCCAGTCTAAATTACGCTAGTATTTAGAATAAAATGCTGTCCCTTTTTGAGGTGATTATTCTGTACTATTGATGTCATTTTCCAAAAATCACAAACGTCTTCCAAATTTGGTCAATGCTAGCTGGTTATGAAGAATTAGCCACAGGATCTGAGCAGTTCAGAAATGGAGAAATATTTTGAATGAACCATAACAAAAATGATGGAGTTTGACTTTCATATGATATGAAGAATTATGTAGATCGAAGAGGGTAATAATTTATGCTCTCAGTAGATCACACCCTTCATGATCTGCATTATTTTTTTATATCATACTCCTGCAACTTCATTCAATAATTTTTCTGCATATAGCGAGTTTATAATTTTGTTAGAATTTACATCATGCTTGACTCCCACGAGGCAGGATAGCTGAGCAAAGTGTGATTTTGCTTTGGTCATTTATATTTCTTTTGTCAGTTCGGTATCTGCAGTTGCATTGCCTAACAACAAAGTAGCAAGTAAACAAAACAGCCACATTACCTGGTACAGACTTCTTTTAGCAGTCACTTTTGAGGTCAAGATATGCTTTTATTTATAAATATTTTGAAGGCAGAAAAACCTTTAAGAGAAAATACAAAAAGGTGGTAAAGTTGAACCTCCACCTGCGACCACCTCCTATAAGCAACGACCTTCCTGAAACACCAAAAATGTTCTCAATCAAAAGCTATACTGGAACAGGCTCGTAAATCACCACCTCCCGTAAGCAACCGCGACCACTTTTTCAGCGGAGAGTTTTAGAATTTTCTATTGTTTTCAAACTCCGGTAACCGACCTCTTAATTGACACATTAGCTTATTAGTAAACAGTGAGGTACACTGTTAAAATGGACAAAAAGGATTTATTCTTTGGCGGTCATTATTGTCTACATGCATGCACATCTACAGTCAACTCTCTCTTAACGGACACCTGTATAAGATGGACACCTCTGTAAAACGGACACTTAGAGTTGGTCCCTGCCTTTCTTTACTCCCTTTATTTGACTCTCTATAAGACGGACACCTCTGTAAAACAGACACTTAGAGTTGGTCCCTGCCTCTCTTTACTCCCTTTATTTGACTTTCTATGAGACGGACACCTCTCTAAGATGGACACTTAGTGCCAGTTCCAAAGGTGTCCGTCTTAGAGAGAGTTGACTGTATTACTGTGTTGATTAGTTCGATGTATAACTACACTTTTAACCATTACCCTTAAGAAAAAGACTCAGATTTCCAGGTTTCGGTTTAAGAAGTTAAGTTCTCGTTCCTCAGATGTTTTGGGGACATTTCTGTACAAGATTATAGTCGGGTACACAAGTAAAATTTTTTCACCACAAATTCATAACGCGCGTTACCTAATTAAGTGCACTTCCATTTAAATGAACTGTAACATAGAATAGCTAATGATTTTGTCAATAAAACTACCAGTAATTGGCAGGGCAAAGTAAACTGTCATTATTTTTTTAGAATAAATATACCACTCCATTAACTAGGTTGACTTAAAAATTTCAACCTTGCTGTCCAACTCTCATAAGCGACCACCTCCTGTAAGCGACCACAGAGCCTTCCCATTTTCTGTGGTTGCTTACGGGAGGTTCGACTATAGATAGAAAATCAAGGTAAGAAAACATGTTTTGCATCCTACTTCACAGACAAGTTGTATCGGCTTTGTTGGGCATAACTGTTTTTTTCATGGGTGATTTAAATGCACTGAAGCACTGCTTTGCTGTCAAAACTGTGGTTATTTTCCTGAAAGATATCTTTGAATTCATGTTCAATACGGCTTGATCAGCTTTCAACAGCACTTGCTGGTGGAAGTTCCATGGGAATAAGACTTTAAGTGTCTCTGTCTGAGAAAGTGTTCCGGGGCCGAAAGTTTACTGGTCAACCGATTTAGCTGAAACTTGGCACAAGTTATGTGTGAAGAGAAAACCCACCTTGACTCACTTCTCTGACTTTTAGTTTTGGGAGTTTCAGAGGGGTGTCATTTTTTGGCCTTTGAGCACCAAAAATCCAGCCTTCCAGGAGGCATTTTGAAAGTGCCATAAAACCCAATGGTAAATTGTGCTGCCAAATGAATTTGACCATGAACTCTACTATAACAGAGCTTTCAGTTCATGCATGTGCTTTTGTCCTCAAGGTATTGGACAGAGAGGAGCCTGGGGCTAGAGTTTGGCCAAAATGGTGCCAAAATAACAACCCCTTATATTATTATGGTTTATTGAATTTTTGAAAAAAAAAACACTCTTCCTCTAAAGCTATGCAAAATGGAATGCTTGGAGTAATACGTAGAAATATGACATGGAACTGACTATAAATCAAAGAAAAATTTAAGCATCTGGTAAAAATATTGTTATAACTAGGTCAGAACATCATCATTAGTGTTCTATGATGGGTACTAGGTTTTCAAAGAAAAAAATTGCCCTAAATCAGGGTGTTTGTTGTGTTAATCAGAGGCTTTTTAGAGCAATTATTATAAAGTAAGAGTCGTGGTATTTCTAAGCAACGAAACTGATTTGGCTTTAACAGGGCCTACTCTGGGACCTTAAGTCGCCGTAACTTAGGCAACTTTAGGAAAATCTGTTCAAATTGTTTTGCGACTTTAGGCGATTTAATGCGACTTTAGGCAACTTCAGGTGACCTACAATGATGCAATGTCACATAAAAGATAAGAGATTACATGTGCCTGAGTACATCATTCCAATGCACCTCTGTAAAGGAGAGACCTGGTTTGTAAAAAAAAAAAACTCTGAGCTGATACTAAAGTGTCTATCTTCATAATTTGACAACAAACATTAAAATGGTTAATATTAAGTCACTTATCAATATTGCAAATTGTGGAAATGACGATCCCCATTGCATGTCGTGGCAAGTGCTCTGCCAATGTTTGTCCTCATACAGTCATACATGTACGTTCGGCAAATAAAAGAAAGTGTTTTTCCAATTGCATTCGGATACAAGCTTAAAGTTGGCCTTTGTCGCCACAATATATTGCTCCTTTCCTATCTCAATCAAAGAAAAAACTCCAATATTGCCAATACTTGCTTTGCTCGTGAACCGTACTCGCTTTCCATAAATTCCACAGTCTCTTTGGAAGGAACCTTTGGAAACTTTCCAGTCGGGTTGATTTCATGAATCTGCATGAATACATTACCAGCAAAAACACAACCAGCCTAGCTTTGTTCCGCGCGGCAGCGTTAACGTTGTCAGCATAAAAAGAAGCGTTCATGTTTAAACCGATGGCAGTACCAAGTGTAAACGTTTCCATTATAATCTAGGAAGTTTCCAGTTAAAGGAGACATACAAAAGGAAAACGTAACAACAAGCCGCCATTTTGAATCTCCCAGAATTCCTCTACAGTCCGTTGTTTCTCGTCCCCGCCCTCTCCCCGCCTCCAGACCAGCTTGTCATGTGATCAAAACACCACACTTTCAGCCGGCCATGTGCAATGCTGGGTGCATCATTTCGCGTTTCTACGTTCTTACTTACGTTTAATGGTCGATCACATAAAATCGTTTGGCAGGGAGCAATCACGACAACATAAACAAAACCATTTTACGCGCCTTCGATGTACAGAATTGTTTTTACGAGTGTTTGGTTGGAACCTTACACCTGGAGACAAAGCTTGAGTTTATATCTGTCTGGAAGGGAAGAACTAAAGAGACGACTATATAAGCTAAGTGTTCAAGTATATAAGAGTGATTGTGCATATGACTGATAGATGGATATAATTCGACGGTAAATACATATCAGAGGTTGTGTGCTGAAGAAATGAATTTCGCACTAACCCTCCTCGCGTGGGTTATCTTAATCCAGCTAATTGAACAACCAGTCCCAGGTACTGTTAAAAAGCAAACAGTTGACACAGTTTTAGATGTTTTAGTAAACACAACTGATCATGTTTAATAGTCGAAATCGAAATTGCTTACTGACAAAAATATTACCGCGTCTCGGGTTACTTGATGGTGCAATAAGATCACGTGACTACAATATTACGCAGACATCAATAAATTAACATAAATTATATAAAAATGTTCACAACACTCCCCAGGGTTGCATCACGACTTCGTGATAAAACGCTTTGACTCAACAGTATAAATCTTGAATGTCCACTATTCAATAAATGTCAAAAGAGCTTCGTCGTCTACAAAGTTCACTGTTTTGATCAATTTTGAATTCATCTCATGTACAGTTCAGTTCAATGTTCACTCAGAAACTTCAACAGGATTTAAGTCCTGTATCACTCTACGTAATACTTGTGGCTTTCGATCCCCTTTGCCAGCAACCTTGACCTTTGCTGATCGAATCTGACCATCTCTACCCGGTAACAGTTCTTGAACCTTTGCCAGTTTCCAAAATGTTCTTTTCGTCAGATCAGACTTCACGATCACAATGTCACCTACTGAGATTGGGCTCTCCTTGTTTTGCTTCTTACATCTCTCATTAGAGCGCTCTCGTAGACTCAAAAGATACTCGTGCTGCCATCTCTTGGTGAACTGATGCAGTAATCGTTGGTGATGCTTAGCTCTCTTTGTCAAGGTCTGATTAACACTAACAACTTCGAAATGCTGGTTACTTGGTGCACTAGTAATTCGTCTACCAGTAATTAGATGAGATGGCGTAAGTGGAGTGGAAACTGACTCTTCATCATCATAGACATATGTTAACGGTCGTGCATTTACGATTGCTTCGATCTCCACCATTGTGGTTTGTAGCTCATCATAGTTCAACGTAGAGCGTCCCACTGTTTTCTTCAATGGTTGCTTCACAACTTTAACCATCCGTTCCCAAAAACCCCCCCACCAAGGAGCTCGCTCAACGATAAAGTTCCATGTGATGCGACTGTCAGTTAAGTATCGCGTAACTTCGTCTGATTGTATGATCTTCCTTATATCTTTGGATGCGGATCTGAAGGTTTTGGCATTGTCACACAGAAGGGTGACTGGTAATCCCCGGCGACTAACGAACCTACGAAAGGCCAACAGAAATGAATCAACGCTCAGAGAAGGCGTCAGTTCCAAATGAATCGCTCTCGTGGACGCGCAAGTGAATAAACAAATGTACACCTTGTCGGAGCCCGTTTCTTTTGAAGACCTTCCATCACGTATGTACAAAGGACCTATGAAGTCTAATCCTGTGTGGGAAAACGGCGGGTCTAGAGACACTCGTTCCAGTGGTAAATCTGGAGTCGGTGGTGGTCTGTATGGAGCTCCTTCTACTCTTCTACAGATGGTACATTTTCTTACAATTTTCTTCACAACTTCTCGACCTCTTGGTACCCAGAATCGTCCTCGAATAGTGGTTAAGGTGTCCTTGATACCACTGTGTTTAATCTTGGAGTGCACATCCTGGATGATGAGACTAGTTAGTGGGTGTTTAGACGGAAGTAAGATTGGATTCTTGCATTCTTCAGAGAGCGGTGCATTGTTTACTCTCCCCTTGCATCTGATGATTTGTTGGTTGTCAAGGAACAAGTTGAATTGCGTGACATAGACGGGTGGAAATGTTCCCCTTTTGCTTTGAAGAAATTCGAGTTCTTTGGCAAATGAGGCTTTCTGTACAGTCTTGATCCACAGCATTTCAGCTTGATTTAACTCTTGAGCATTAAGTTCCCTTTTGACGAATGTTCTGGTAGCTTGTGAGTTTCACGGTTTGATACACTGTTCTTCGCATTACCTATGAACCGTAATAGGTAGGCTGTCACGCGGAATAATCGTGTTACACTGCAGTATCGTTCAATGTCAATGACTTGACTGAGATTGATTGAATGGTCTTCTGACTCTGTCGTGACCAGAGAGTGCGTGACACTCACAGGGCTTTTTAGAACTTCTTGAAGTGCTTCTTCGTCATCAGACAAAGCACTTGTTTGGGGCGACTCAGGCCAATGTTCTCTCACTAACTTCAGAAACTTGGGCCCATTCCACCATGTCTGGTTTTGTGCTAATTGCTCTCCTCCACATCCTCGTGATGGTAGATCAGCGGGGTTCAACTCCCCGGGACAGAAATTCCAGTTGGCTTCGTTAGTTAGTTCTCGTATCCTGCTGACCCGGTGTTGTATGTAAGGTTTCCATGCTTTGGCATTTTTTATCCAACACAGCGTGGTGAATGAATCGGTCCACAAAAATGTTCCTTCAATTGGAAGAACGGATTGTAACGTTTGCTGCGTTAAGTGAACTAGTTGGGCTAGCAATGCAGCTCCTAGCAGTTCCAACCTGGGAATTGACTGACGTTTACTCGGCGCTACTCTCGTCTTGGATGTCATGATGTTGACTTGGATTTCGCCATTGGTGAATGCGGTTCTCAGGTACACAACAGCTGCATAGGCTCTTTTCGACGCATCTGAAAATCCATGGATCTGATAGGAGCATACTGCTGACTGCGCTGGTGAGTAATTGGCATAACATCGGGGAACTCGAATGTTCTTCAGAGCGTTTAGGTCATTAATGAACGTTTTCCACTTCGCTAAAGCTTCTCCTTCCAAGTTTTCATCCCAATTGACCCTCTCAACACATAAATCTTGAAAAAGGACTTTCATGCTTATTGTAAATGGAGTTAACAGTCCAATCGGATCAAAGATTTTGGCTGACAGTTTCAAAACACATCGTTTGGTAGCTGGAAGGGCTTCTGCGTACTCAATCAACTCAGAGAGGTCATAGCGAAATTCATCTCGAATGACATCCCAGTAAATCCCGAGAATCTTCACCAATTGCTCTGTTTCCAGTTTATCATCTTTGGCACTCGATGACTCTTCTTTCTTGAGATTTTGTGTACTTTCACTTTCTTTGGGAGAGGATTCCCAAACTGACGGTCCTCTTCTTTCTTCATCCTGCTTGATTTTTTCGCGGAAGGACTGACAGTTAGAATTCCACTTACGCAGTGAGAATCCTCCATCTTTCATGATTTCCTGTGCTTTGTCGTACAAGTTCACAGTTTCATTCTCGCGAAACACTCCTCCTGCCAGATCATCAACATAGAAGCTGGAACTTAACAAGGATGTTACTTCTGGTTCCTTTTCTTTGTACTTGGACAGATGGAGTTTTATGGTACTTGCCAGGATAGCTGGACTTGGAGTTAAGCCAAACACAAGCCTTCGAAACTGGTATTGCTTGATTTGCGGACGATCTTTCTCAATGTCATCGAACCATAGAAACCTCAGCATACTTCTGTCTTCTGGGTTGATCTGTATCTGATGGAAGGCCTTTTCGATGTCAGCTACTACAGCAATTGGATACCCTCGAAACTTAACCACAATATCAAATAGGTGTGGCACTAAGTTCGGTCCTTTCTCTAAACACTCGTTAATTGAAGCAGTTGACTTGTCAGATTTGGCTGAACCATCAAATACAACTCTCAATTTTGTAGTTTCCCGGTTCGACCGAATTACGCCATGATGAGGTAAGAAATGCATTGGAGCTTGGTCGTAGTTGTGTTCTGGTACGGCTTCGATTATCCCGGATTTGACTTGATCCTTGATCACATTGTCATAATCTCTCAATAGTTCCTTGTTTTTTTTCAGTCGCGAGTGAAGCTGTCTCAATCTTGTAACACACAATTCGTACTCGTTTGAAGCAGGAACAAGGCCTTCCTTCCAAGGCAGACCAACTTCGTATCTTCCTTCATTCTCATTGAAATGAATACTCTCCAGGAACTCTCCACCATCTGACTGTGACACGGGTGGCTTCTCTCGTACTCCTATTGACTCAATGTCCCAGAATTTCTGCAAGGCATTACATAACTCATCGTTCTCACTATGACTGATGTCAAATGGGCTCAAGGTCATCAATTCCGGCCTCTCTATGATGAGATTTGTAGTTGCAAACTTCTCTCTTGATTCTTCAGCACTTGTGGGACCAGACAAGACCCATCCGAAAATGCTGCTAACTGCTACGGGACCACTGCAGCCACGAATGACATCCCCAGACACAATATCGAAATAATAATTAGATCCAATTAGCACATCTATGTCCTGTTGACCTGTTTCAGCAATGCTCATGTCAGCAAGCTCGAGACCTTGCAGATGTACGTGATTGTCGATGTTAACTTTAGCTGACACCGCCGAGCAAATCTTCGGGAAACATAGTGCAGATATCTTGATTTCTCCTTGAGATCCTTGCAACCGCAAGTTCACAACATCACATTGTTGCTTCGTATATCTTTCGTCTCCAAAGGTGTTAAGATGCAATGTTTCTGACTTGACAGGGGACAGATTAAGCCTCGATTTTAATCTGGTTGTGATGTAGGTGCGTTGACTTCCGGTATCCAAAAGTATTCTAACTGGTGCGGCTTTAGAACTGACAACATTGACAGCCATGGCTTTCGCTGTTTGTAAGAGCACAGTTCCCTTTGCCTTGTTACTCACTGTTGTTGTTGTCGTTGTCTCTTCGGCTGAAACTTCTTTTGGTTTCGGTTTCCCTTGGTCAAGCATTGAACAAATCGACTGATGATGCCGCTGCTGGCAGTGTCGGCATTTTTTTGGATTCGTGCAGTCTTTCGCACAGTGATCAAAAACGCAAACAATTGAAGCATCGTTTATCCCTTTCCAAAATACTTCTTCGTTGAGCGGTATCTTTTACCACACCACATGATGCAGAGTAATGCTCGTTTTGACAATAGGCACATTTGATTTTGAAGTTCCCACCTTGCTGAGAGACGAGTGAATTCGCGGTTGGCGTTTGATTTCGAAACTTTGAATCACGGCCGGGTGGTTGAACTTTCCCGCCTTCGCTTGTTTTCGCCATGGTCATCTCGCTTACTTCCCGCGCTTCGACTTCAACCTTTATCACGTTTAGCAACTCCTCCATTTTCCATACAGAATCCTTAGAGTTCCTGGCTATCTGCAATCGAATCTCAGAAGGCAACTTTGACATAATAACAGGAATTAGGAGACTTCCATATTGATCTGAAGTTACGCCGAGCGATGCCAAACCGCGGGAATGAACACAAATTTGATCGTAGACGTATCGAAGACTGGCTGGGCGATCATTGGAACACGGCGAAACCTTGAGAAGCTGATCCATATGTGCGCTGATAATTTGTTGGGGACGCCCGAAACGTTCTTGTAATAAATTGACTGCTGCGTTGTAGTTCGCTTCGGTTAAGGTAAGACCCTGAATAGCTCGAGCGGCGGCCCCTTCAAGGACAGAATTGAGGTAGTTGAACTTGTCGATATTGGAAATCCCTTCGTTACGATGAACCGCCGATTGAAATGAATCCCAGAAGGTATTCCACTTGGTCACATCTCCTCTAATCTTCGGCAGGTACAACTTCGGTAATCTTGTACGGACTGCATTTTGATTCACTGGCTGTGATGTCGTTTGAGGAGATCCCACGTGTTGCTGGGTTGGCATGTTCACCTTGCTCGCATTCTCGATTTTGCATTTTAGACGTATAATTGAGGCAGTAAATTCTTCTGACTCTTCGATTTCTTTATCGATCGTTGTAACTTCGCATAAAGATAATATCTCTTGGTCCATTTCGCTAAGAGACTCTTGTTTTCCATCCAAGAGTTGTCTCATAACATTGAGCCGTTCGTAATCCTTGTCTTCGCTTTGCAACATTTCGGTGAATTCTTGATCCAGTTTCGATACATATCGTCGGTGTCCTTCACGTATAACTCGCAGTCGTTCCAAATTCGATGTATTCGCTTGCATACTCGATGTACTTGATATCTCGTGTGTTTTTGACTTCGGTTTACCCTTTTTGGGAGGCATTGCGATCGAAAATCTGCCCCTCGTTGGGCGCCATTTAGTAAACACAACTGATCATGTTTAATAGTCGAAATCGAAATTGCTTACTGACAAAAATATTCCCGCGTCTCGGGTTACTTGATGGTGCAATAAGATCACGTGACTACAATATTACGCAGACATCAATAAATTAACATAAATTATATAAAAATGTTCACAACAGATGTAATCATTAATTTTATTTAATATTGGGAATTTCACATGTAGACAATTCCTGAAATTTACTATGAAATGCCGGAAACCGTTACTGACAAGTCTTCTTAACTTGTGTTAATGTATCGGTCAAATCGAAGCTTCAACATGCCCCCCCCCCCCGGGCATACCCCGGGCATTTGACACCTTGCCGTCCCGGGGAGGAGGCAATTTGATCATCAGAGTCTTCCAGAGGGTGGGGAATTTGATTCCCATGCTTTAGGGGTGGGGAATTTGAACTGCACCCTCGATTTCATGTAAAATCTTTGGCGTGGCGAGCTATCATGGAGAACGCGGTGTTAGAGGATTTTCGTGGAAAAGATTGTGCCTTTGTGGCCAATTGGTTACGAGGAAAGGGCTTAAACAAGCTTTGTGCCGTATTTGAAGTATTTAAATTTTAAAATTTTTAATATTGGATTCAGGATTTGAATGTATGAATGTATTTTATTGTTGTGTTTACAATAAAGTACAATACCTATACCGGCGATTCAGTACAACAACATAAAATAAAATAAAATAAAACGGTCAACTACTTTGACCTACTGCAAGTATGTTAATTAATAAGGTGAGCGATGATGCATGTCAGTGAAATGCCGTCATGATGTACTGAGTAATCTCAATAGGTGGGATCTTTTTTTATAGAACGCTTTGCATGTTGCATGACGAAGAAAAGCTGAGCATTCGGTGACCTTGTAGCAGCGATTTCCGCCGCTTTGCACGAGACGTTTGTTTGTAGTAAATTCACTAGCAGTGTTGCTCAGTTTGTGTTATATTTTATAAAGATTTTGTTCGACAACTGAAGGCGTTTCCGCCGTCCTTCTGTCATTTTTGCGCCTGTGAAATGTCCCCGGGGTGGGGGCATTTGATCACCTGAATGGACCCTAGTGTGGGGCATTTGAACAGCATTTTGGCCCGGGTAGGGGGGAATTTGAACAATAATTTTCAAAAAAGTCAAATGCCCAAGGGGTTGCCGGGGGGCATGTTGAAGCTTCGATTTGACCGATACATAATGTTAAAGAACGACCCAAGACCACATTTTTGTGGTGAATGCCGGGGCACAATGATTGTGTTTAAACACTGGTACACTGACACTTCACTTCTCAATTTCACACATTTCAAGGGAATCATCAAAGCCTTCAATGGAGTGTGTGTGCGGCTCACGTCAATAACTTTTCCAAGAATTTGGTCGAGTGTATTGATTTCAGTGGCTTGAGTGGCGCTACTGTGGGCTGGTCACGTTTTTTCTAATAAATAACATAGAGCTAAAATGTCCATTTGTCCAGTGCCGAAATTATCACAAGTCATGATGAAATGGTGCCGCCGAGCTTCACATCTGGGTAGATTTACTTTGTGGGATAACGGCCGCCACCGAGCTTCACATCTCTGAAGATTTACTTTGTGGAATAACGGCCGCCTAGCTAGACAACTCAGTAGATTTACTTTGTGGCACAACAAACGTTGAGCTAAACAACTCGGTTTGATGCATGCACCAGGAGTAGCATGCATTTTCCAAAGAAAAATGTGAAGGCTTAATCCAAAGTAAAATTTCACTCAGGGTGTAAACTTTCTGTACACTTTTGAAAGATGAACGCTTTGGAAGATTCATTAAACACAGATTGATAGTAGACCTTCAGCAAACTCTTAAATATGTACGCTTTACAAAGATTCACCACACTTTTAAAAGATGAACGATTTATGAAGACAGAATAGCAGACCTCAGCAAACGTTTGAAAGATGAATGCCAAGGACAAACGAATCATCACGCGAGTTGGCACATGAAAGTGAGGGGAAACGTAAGCAAGCGCCTCAAAGCGAGGCAAATGTGTGTCGACGACGATGACAAATGCAATCTCGAGAAAACCTCCCTTATTAATTGCACTGGACACCCAATAATTCACAGAGCACCCAACACAATTAGGGGTTGTGTTCTCGTACCTCAAACGCAATGATTAGTTTAAACATTAGGGTGTATTGTTAGCTGACGTGGCGCAATAGATATCGCCTTGCTCTTACACGCCAAAGGTCTGGGGTTCGACTCCCGCCGGAGGAAACTCTTTCTTTTTTCTTTGTCGTTTTGTTTTGTTACACTTTTTTAAAAACAAATTTTCATTTAATAACAATTAATTATTAATCCAGACTATTGACAGAAAGAGAACCATTGATTCAAGTACATATGTGTAGTAAGTTTTGAGCTGTATTGCTGTATGTCTTGCCTGTTCTAGAAAAAAAGAGAAGTTGACCCAAATATGAGCTTATTTGTAAAAAGTGTAAGCCGGTTTAAAAAATGTGAAAATGGAATCTTAACTTTCACAACAAACACAGAATTCAGGGAAGATTGAGACTTATTTTACAAAAAGATCATCTAAGTGCCTAAAAGGATTCTTTTGCATTAAGTGAAAATTAAAATTATGGTGTCTAACAATTTTATGGAAATCCAGATGGGTGGGGGGTCTTTGAACTTGGAAATCCTGAGGGGAGGGGGCATTCAAGCAGTTTTGGAAATTCAGGTGGAAGAGGGGCTCAAAAAACCGTTCTTGGCGTCGTAGGGGTGTTGATTTTTTCTGGAATAACCCATTGTTGATTTCTTTTGTCTGTTTATTTGTTTTTTTTTCTTTTCCCAACTGGCTTCTTTTCCTCTTGTCCTTCTTCTGTGGCCATAAGCTAGCCTCTGCTGTGCGAGGTTCGACAATTCACTTATATTTTCTATTTAATTTTATTTGGTTGTGTGTGTATGTTTTTCTGAACTTGGGGTTGGGTTGGAAGATAATGCAGTACTTGGTAAATAAATGAGGTACTGAATATAATTATGCACTATTAACTAATTTAGTTTCTGTGAATCTCTTTGGGACATCAAGGTGCATATATGAACTCCCACTGTTTCCTAATGATGGTAAATGTTTTATTACAATATGTTTTTCCTCTGCTTGTCACAGTTAAGTGATTTATATACCTTGAGTGACAAATTGTTTTCCATATTTCTCCAGGTAGTGTACAGGGAACTGCCTCACTCTGGTCATGTCTAAGAAAGGCAACACACCACCTTCAGACCTTAAACTCTTCCTTCAAGATTTTCTTCAACAGTCCAAATGCACTGGGGAGAGTTCACAAGGAGCTCACCATGTTCAGAATTTTGGAAGCTCTCCGGATGTAGCTGAAGAAATAAATGAAATGACGCTGAAATTAATACTATCCCATGTTCAGCATCAAAGTGTGAAATCTTGGAGTGACACTCAAGATAAGTTTCTGGTAATTACTCATCAAGAAGATGAGAGCTCTGATAAAATCAACTTTCTTTATGCCTTAATTGCGTGTGCTTCCCAAAAAGGTGCTACAAAAAGTTTGGAAGAAGTACTAACAATTGCAGTTCGGTACGAAGAGCTACCCAGTGCTGGCTTTCTGATGAATAACCTTGGTGTGAAGTTAAGTGAGCGTGGATCACATGAGAAGAGTAATGAGTGTTTTAATATCGCCAAGAGGTGTTTTCATCGCCAACAAGACAACTTGGGAAAAGCGGTTGTTACTTTGAATCAAGCAGTTCTCCACAGAGCCTTGGGGGACTATAAAAGTGCACAGAGTCTCTCTGTCACTGCAGCCTCCTTGTGTGACAATGTCTGGTTAGGAACAACAAAAGATAGTCATCTTCCAGAGAAGCTTTTACGAAGAGTTTTTAATATGCTGCAAGAGTTTGGAGAGTATGAGACATTATGTAAGACTTTTAAGATTTTTGTTGAATTTGACAAATTTTGTGGTGTAAGTAAACCTACTTCGATGGTTTTAACAAAGCAGTGGATGAAACTCCAACTTAGGGAGGGAACTGGTGAAAATGTTCCAGCTGAAGAAGTGAAAGAGTTTGTTCTTCAGTTGTTTGCCCTGCTGGATAAGCCAGATGCAGAGGTGATGAATATTGATTTCATACAAACCATTATCTTTGTAGCAAAGTTTCATCACGATAGTGGTCATAATGATGAAGCCTGCCATTTATTAAAGAAGCTGCGGAAGGTTGTCCATCTTAATCTTGGTGGAGAAAGTTCTCTCTACGGCTTGCTGTTATACCGAATTGGTTGTTTCAAGTTTGCCTGTGGATTGTTTGATGAAGCTTTGGAAGCACTCAAACTTGCATTGGAAATTCTAAGCCTTCATTTTGGGCAAGGACACCACACAATTGCATCATGCATGGATGTCATGGGTTCTTGTTTCTTGCTAAAGAGTAACACCAGAGAAGCGTGGAGGTGTTTGAATGAAGCCCTGGAAAGGTACAGAAAGCTAAATCCTAGCCATCCAGTATTGGGAGGAATTCTTCTGAAACTCTCATTTTTTCATATTAAAGAGAAAAAGTTTCAGTGTGCCCTTGACACCATGCAAGAAGCCTTAGATGTGTTCATCTCAGCTTGTGGTGAACTATCTGTTGTGACAGCCACCGGATATTTCCAGTCAGCCATGGTCTTGTTGAAAGATGAAGCAGTGTGTTGTTTAGCCGAGGAAAAACTGATCAAAGCTATTGACATCTTTGAAAAGCTAGGACTGAAATACCCACATGCTCATGTCATTGCTTGTCGTAGTTTACTTGGTGTCTTGCAACTCTCTTTGAGGAAAAGTGAAGAGGCAGGAAAGTGTTTCTTGGATATTGAACAGCAGCTAGAGTTGAAGTGGGACCCCTGGATTAAATCCAGAATTTTTTTATTTCCTTCAGTCAGTTTATTAGTGTCATCGCTAACAGCTGGTCTAGACAGATCTTTTGATCTCTGTGCCAAGGTTGTGTCTCTTGTGAATCTGGTACAGATGAAGACTGGCAATGAAAGACACAAGTATCTTGATGTCCTTGTTAATTGCTTGCAAGAACAGAAAATAGAGGAAGTACATGTAAGGGATTTTGCAGGCCAAGACGTGTGTTATATGTCACACAGACTGCCTGAAACTGATAGAGCTGTAGTTCTCATTTTATCCACTGACCCAAAGCCAATCTCTTTGAAGGCCAATGAAGGGTTGAACTCTCATTCAGTGCATGATGCATTACAATCACATGCCCGAAATGAGTCTGGTGTGTTCTTGTCATCTGCAAAAAAGAAGCATTTTGTCCTGTTTTTGAGGTTTCCACGTAACATTCAAGATGATGCTAATTCCTTGGCTTGTTCCCTCCATAACTGCGCTAAAATGTTGTTTCTGCAACTAAGATCCAGAAAATATTTCGTGGAGGCAGATGAAGATTTCTACAGGGACCTTACAGTGCCAATACATGATATGTCTTCCATTCGTGGGCTGATTGACTGCCTTCCACTTCTTGTAGCAATGGAACTTTCAGAATTAAAGGAACAATGTGAGAACATCGGTTGCTCAAATTCTTGGGAATCTCCAGTGAGATCTGTCAAACCTTTGCTGCTGATCTGTTACTCCTCCTTTGAATGTTCCAACCAGCGCGAGGCGGAGCTTGTGTTTGGTCATTTAAGCCACAGATTAGAAGAAAACCTAGCTGTAAAGAAGGGTTATGGTGTTATTTCCCCGATGCACAATGCCGCCTTCCTTGTGGTTACCAACCTTAAAAAATCCTCGGTATCTGTTGTTGTGGAGAATAAGTTTGTTGTTGTGAAATGCTGCAGCTCCAATGAATCTGATTTAGAGTCTGTTTGTTCATTAATACAAAATGCTCTACAAAACCCAGTGCAAAGTTTGTGTGATGTTATTGGGTTGAACATTAAACAATCTTCATGGTTTTCTTATAATAATATTGCCACATCCAAGATGCAATTTTCTGTTGAAGATTTTTTACCACCACCACCAGTGCCTAGTGAGGTGTTCTCCCCTGTCTTGGCCTTGGAAACTGGGGATTTAGTCCCATGTACAGTTAGCAGAGACCCAGAATCGGATATAAAGAAGCAGCCAACTGTTGATGTGGTAAAGGATGAGGTAAGCATTTTTCTGAAACTTACAACAAAAGGCCTCTATTGATAATAAATTTCCTAACTCTTGAATTCCCCAAGAGTCAGTTCTGGAGATGTGTTAAAACGTAATTAATTCACTTATAAAAGCGGGAGATACCACAAGAGACTGGGGAGAAGGGATTTTTCTGTCTCTGGCTCTTATATTTTGGATCCTCTACAAATAATCGGCAATAGCAGACTTTTTCTTCACTTTCGTCCCTATTGAACAACATTTGTAATAAGAAACATACCTGTTGGAGATTGCATTGATGGTAATACATGAAGCTGCTGATAGCTAGCTTTTTTTCCCCCTAACCATTATGCGAGGTTGTTCTCCAGCTATTGATCCTTGTAGAAAACACTGACCACGTTTGTGTGGTAGTAGTCAATTTTTCTCACCTATTTTGTTTTTTCTTCGCTGATACTTTAATGTCTTTAATGACCAACCTGAGAGTGGGACAAAAATTGGTCAGAATTAAATTGAAGCTTTTTCTTGTAGAGGCTATTGTAGATAGTACTTTGCTTTTGGAATGTAAATTGTTCTTGTTCGTGGCCTGCCAGTTTCTTGGTACAAGGGTTGGCAGGACTTATGACTCGAATCTGTTTCTTTGATAGATTGTGGGAGTCAGGCCTCTTCTTAGCCGTTCCTGCAATGAGTTACATCCAGACATGGATGTTTATTTCAATCTTCTGAAGTACCTGTTGGGTAAAGTCAGACCTGAGTCCACTAATGAGGAAGCATTGGGGAGCTGCACAGTGTCGTCATCTTCCTTTGACAGATGTGATTATCATAATAGCGTTCATGTTTATTGGAATGAGTCGACCGCATCTTCTCAAAAATCCTTGTCTGCAAGCTCCGCCACATCTGCAGACGTTTCTTTCACACGAAAGAATTCATCACCTGAGAGCCTGTTATCTGCAAGCAGACTGGAAGAAGGCAGTCCTGATCGCGACTTAAAGAATGCAAAGCTGTTAAAAGATATACAATCGACCACCACAGGAGTGAAAAAAGAAGAAAGGTCCAGTCTCATTAATGATCACCGAGGAGGTGCTTCACACGATACTGAGTTTGTTGCTGTGAATAACAGCAATCTACCATTGAGCAAGTGGAATAAACAGTGGCTAGTGAACCAAAACCAGGGGCAATGCAATTCAGCTAAACCTTATCAAAGTATTCCAAGACTACCATCTGCAGCAAGTTCAGAGAATGTGGACAAAGGAACTTTCCCTGACGTTTTTCGTTTACCCATACAGTCAGATGCCGAGAATGAGTTAGCAGCTTGTCGGAAGAGGTGCGTTGAATTAGAGCAACAGATGAGGAAACTGGACGAGCAGTTGAAGCAGAGTGAGGAGGAGAAACGCCAGCTTCAAGCTGATCTGGGAAGATATTTGTTCCTTGAAGAAAGAGAAAAGTGCAGTGGAAGACTCCTTGTTAGCCCAGCTTCAGTCCAGGATCTCGGTCAGTGAAAGTCGTTAAAAATAATAATTACCAGTAGCAGCTTGAGAAAAAGAACTACTTTCCTTTGGGCATTAAAAAAAACTGTCCGGGAAATGTCAGGGCGAATTTTTAATAAGGCCTTCGTGAAGTTTCTGACGATGTTTTACAATGGGTAGGGCTGAGTGTTTTGAAATAGCAGGTGGAGGCAATGCCTGATTATTGTGCTCAACAAAAAGTTAAAATAGCAGCTAGTACTTTCTCTACCAAGGCTGCAAATAACAGGCAGTCATCGCACAATGGCCTGAGACAATTTTTTCCAGGTCCAATGAAATCTCAACCATCGTCAGACATTATGTGCGGCTTTTAAATCAACAACTATGATCCTGCTGAAAATGAGTTTAATTTGTCTTGAGCAATTAAACAGATCAAAACTCCTCACTTGCTACCTCTCTCTAACTATGAATCAGATATGAAACTGAAATGAACGAAATAAATTTTGAGATAATGTCATGTCAGACCACATTTTTGATTTATTCAGGTAAAATGATGATTTAGTCGGACATCTGTCCTTTGAAGAAACGTTAATAGATTTGTAGCCCCGATCATAGTAATGGTTAAATATGGTTCAAGTAGCAGACGTGATATGAAGACATGTTTATGCGCTTGCTGAGGTTAGACTTCTTTGAGTTTAAGTGGGAAACATATTAGCCATTTATTTGTAGGCAGTATATCTCTGCAACTCATTTATGTTAAATGTTTTGGAACATTTTCTGACTTTTTCTTTCAGTATCAGACCACAATTCGGTGGACCACAGTTTATCAGCGAGAAAAAATCAATTGTATAATGCTGAAAAACCACCTGACTCCATGACTGCGCAAGGTGGTTTGCTGGCAAACACACCTGACAACGAGCAGCAAAAAAATGATGCAACTATGTTTCCATCTTCAAGAAATCCTGTCCATTTGCAAGGCTGTAAAGAAAATGATCAATCTTTAAGAGCAGAGGAAACAGATCACTGTGAAAACCTATCTTCAATTTCATCCAGTTACAGCTCAACCATTTCTTCTGCTGCACTTACTACAGAAGCACTGTCTGACCGGTCTTCACAAGCCTCAGTCAATTTAATGGATGGTTTACCAGTGTCAGCATCAGTCAGTTCTCTTTCGTTTTCAAATAATGGCGCATTCTCAAGCGACGTGGGTCAGTCGTTGGTTAGCGCAAATGGAGTATCAAACGGGGAAGATGATAGAGTGGAAGGAGCGTGTTCTACCAATGGAGAAGAAGAAGGGCTAAAAGGATCTTTTGATTTATTTGGTAGAGACCATGGAACAGTGCAGGTAGCTGTCACAGGTACTTTCTTCGAAGCAAAAACAAATGGTTTAAATAATTCTGGTCATGGTCTTGTCAGAACTCAAGGTGGTACAAATGGAGGAAATATTTCTTACCCACAAGTTGTCGTTCCAGATGTTGAGTTGACCGTTGGCAGACCTTCAGGTGGAACGGATTGGGAGCGCCAAGGTGTTAGGCCAAAACAATCGAAACATTCAGAAGAGAGGCAGCTACCAAGAGAGTGCCTGGTCCAATTTAGTGACATTTTAGCAAATGGTGTGTCAGAACAGTCGGCAGAGAACTCAGTGTTTGCAGAAACCTCCGTTGTTGAACCAGTTCATAGGGAGGAGGATAAACATGAACGGTTTGTAGGGAAAAGAGGAAGCAGCAAACAAAGAGCCAAAGAAAGGAGACAAAAGGAAGATATGGAGAAGCAGAAAGCTGCAAGTTGGCCACAAACATCCAGAACCCAGCGTGATAGAATTGTGGAAGACATTCCTTTGTTACGGCAAGGTGCCTCTCCAGATGCAAGGGGGACAGTAAGGGCAAGAGACTGGGAACGTGAAGGTGCGAAACTAAAGCAGGCCAGCAAGCAAGTTCGTTCCAAGGTGGTACAGATACCAAATGATCCTCTTGTCCCACAGTTCGCTGATTCTTCAACAGAGAGCTCAAATGACCCATTACTTTCTGAAGAACAACGTGTTCAAAGAACTGTAAGGGAAGGGGAGCAACGTGAACAGTTGGAAGGAAAAATAAAAAACAACAAAGAATGGCTGATGAGAGAACAGAGAGCTAGAGAAAGAGGGGAGAGAAAAGTAAGGGAGATGCAAGAAGCTGAAAAGAAATCACAAGAAGAAACTGCGGCATGCTCACAGCATCAGCGTGAATATTATTATAGCCAATGTTCATTGACTTCATCAAGAACCCAAGGCATTGTGGGAAACATTCCCTGGTCACAGCAAGATACCTTTGTAGATGGAGGAAGACCATCAACAGCAACTTATCGAGAACATGATGGTTTAGCTGATGAATTCTTGTCAAGACACACCCAAGATAAGGCTCTTTATGACAGTCTATATCAGAACACTAGCACAGATGTGTCGTTGCGCAATGGCATTTCAGCAGAGGGAACTTCCCATATAGACGGTTATGTATCACATTCCGACAGACGTAATCCATACTTTGGGGATAGCCAAGCTACATCTCAGACTGGTGGTGAGCAGAGTACCGGTCACAGAGCTCAAAACCCAACTTTGACTCTTAGAAATGTAAACAGTGCTGCAGGCAATGAGAATGCAAGAGATGATCTATGTGAATATATGCTGAATCAGTCTGTTTCTCTTTCCAGTCCGGGTTTTTCTTCTGTAACAGGACTTCACTCTTCAGCAAGACGTCAGGGGGCAATGCTCTGTGCCCCATCTAATGCAGCTATGATTGGTGGTGAAGTGTTGGCACAAGAAAATGCACCTGTTTGTGAACCTGTTCGTGAACCACGTTCTGGTGGTGCAAACAACATCAGAGGTGCTTCCATAAGAGATTATGTTCCCGACTCTCTAGACACAACAGGGAACTTATTGGCATGGGTGCCACAGCAACAAGACCCATCTCAGCAATGTTCCAGAGGGGTAAGTGAAATGTGGTCATTTAGTTCAGACCTCGTGATCCTTCTCTTTAGTTAATGTTCAACAAGAATGTCCATTGCTTGATTTGATGAGAAAGCAAGTTTGTAAAGGCACGCCTTCCATCTTTGAATCTTTTATACCTAAACAGCTTGATCGTTACTGTACACATAGACTGAACGTAACTATAATATCAATTATAAAAAAGAAGAAAAAGTGTCATTCATGATCATCAGTTTTTCTAACTGGTGGTCGTTTTCTGATGAGTTTAGCATGAAAAGATCAAGAGAATAAAAAAAAGATAAAAAACCGCTAATGGTTGTCCATCGTAAGCCAAGAAATAGCCCTCTAGCTCGTGTCAAAGAGTTTCAGAGCACAGAATTATCCAAATCTATCTCTTCAATATTTACTCAATTTTGCGTGTACGTTAGACAACTATAAAAGTTTTCAGGGAACATAAAATGTATGGATTATATAGTACACTGACCCATTGCAGCTCTGAATTCATTTCTGGGAAATCTATCCACGAAGTTTGATTGAATCGCTGTTTTGTGAAAGTAGCCTGACAAAACACAAAAAAGAGCCCAACATTGTGTTTTACCCTGATTCATATATTTTCGTGTTTTCCAAAATCGCGCAAGTCTACTTGCTTCCTGCGCTTTGAAGAATGCATAAGGGGCATTTTTTAAATGAATGAGTGGTGAAAACTTTCTGGAAACTTCCAAGAAGTAGCAAATTGGTTTGCTTAAAGTCCAGTCTTCAGTTCACGCACAAATTATACCCTTCACGTGGAAATTCCAAGATACCTCGAAATTCTTTCTACATATTTTTGTGAAACTTCGCAGAAGGTAAGCACCCAGAGTTGTGGGTAAGGGCTGAAATTTGACTTAGAGATAAAACAGTTGTGACGTCATTGTCACGTGACATTCATCTCTATCTCGAAAAAGTTAACATCTTAATATGGTTCAATCTATGTGTAATCCATGTGTTAAGGTCTATTTACTATAAAGATCAAGCTGTTTAGGTATAAGAAGTTCAAAGATGGAAGGTGTGCCTACAGAAATTCAGGGTCGAGCCACCTTAAAGATTAACAGTGAAGTGAAGCGAAGTAAAGTAATCTAATGTAAAGGAAAGCGAAGTAACTTAAAGTAAGTACTAGCTTTTTCGTTTTAAAATTCAGTATATGCTACACAAAAGGCTTGTTAGCGGCCAAGGATGAAAAAAGTGGCCATAAACATTCTTCCTGTTGAATCTGGTCTCTCCACATGGTCCCCACCGACTTGAAAGGCAGTTATTGGGCTCATCAATTGGCCATGAATTAAATATTGTACCGTTAATATTGGTACTTTAAATATGGTTTCCAAATATAATTTTTGAAGGCGAAGGAAAAAATCGTGGAATTTTATTTCGAGTCAGGGAAAACTGGGGATTGGGTGCAATAGTTGAGTTTGATCAATCAAAGCAGAGCTTTGGCGGTAGTTTCACTTGATAAATTTTTCATATTTTAGGAGTGGATCACCTGGCTACTTGCTTTACTGGAAAAGAGCCTTATTTATTTATTTAATCGCTTTCACCATGATTACAATGCTAAAAAAGACTAGGGAAAAAACAATACATTTGAACAAGACACAAAAACGAGCGACGAAGGGGCTGGACACACAAAAGAGCGAGGTTCAAAATTAAGGGTGCCTTTAGTCTTTGTTTATTAATACAATGTTTTTTCACCTTTCTTGAAAGTGACAAGTCTGTTGTTAAACTCATGAAAGACCTTCTTGAGATCAAAGTGACCTTTAGAAGTGTTATAATTTCAATTCTTCTTTCTTTGCTTATTAAATTGTTAAAAGGCAGTGGCGGGTCTGACCCGGGTCCCCACCTGTTTTGGTAGCTAAACTAAAACCCGCAGGGCCGAGGCTGGGGCCCCCTTCTATCTTAAAGATCTTAAACCGCCCCTGAATGCTTAGGCAGTCTTCTTTGTTGACTATCGTTGTTGCTGTCTGCTTTTAATAAAGGCACCCACCTTGAATTGTGCGATGTGTGGCCTGTGTATTTATGGACAGTTAGAGGGAACATCTCACCAATGTCAAACAGATGATTGCTGTATTTGCCTGGGGGTAAGTTGGAATTCTTTTTTGTCGTGCTTAACTTTCATAAAACAGTCGACTGAGTGTTGTTTTCACCGCGGTAATAGCGAGTGTGATCTTTAGTGGCGCGTAAGTTCTCTGTATCACATAAGCTTTCAAGTAACATAAAAGGCGTAATGTCACTATGATTGAGTGTTTCTTGAATATCTAACAGAAGTAAGTTTATTATACAGCTGCTTCTGCGAGCGGGCAAGTTGAAGTTAATCCCATGTTTTGACTGGCTATTCGAGCAGGCAAGTGAGCCTGTCTTGTGCGCTCGGGATTTCCAGTGACACTGATAATGATAATGATAGTAATAATAATAATGATAATGAATGATAGTAATAATAATAATTCCTTTATTTACCCTCGGCAGTATTAAAGCGTAAAGGCTGGTGGGGCCAAGCAAATGGCTGAAACAAACAATTTAAATCAAACATGAAAGGGTTTATAAGAATTCCAACGGGACGAAGGCAGACCTGTTGGCTATTTACAACCTTTGTTGGACTAACGACCCTGAAACAAATCCGGTTAGTGGTCAGGGCGGGACTTGAACTCAGGAACGCCCAATAGCAAGTGCTGCTCACTAGCCGCTCGGCCACACTACGTCCTCAATTTCTGAGAGAAAAAGTCATGACGAAGCCGCTTTTGGTGCAAGTGTCAATTGTTTATTGCGCCTCTCTGCCTCACCTTTGGCTTCTTTGCCCAGCAATGGCCGTTCCTAAAGCTGGTAGAGGGGAGGGAGGGTGGATGTTGTCACCTTCAGGGTTCGTCTTGAATTCTTGAAAAAGTCTTGAAATTTGCAAAGCAATTTTCCAGAACTGGAAAAGTCTGGAAAATAGAGATAAAGTGTGGAAAAAAGGTATAACAAATATTTAGTAAGTGAATTTATTTTCCCATGGTCAAATCTTAGTCAATCTCGACCGTAGCCAAGACATTCAATTACAGAATGAAAATTTTCAGAACTCTCTTATGTCCATTGCACCATGGCTACTGCACTTGTGCGGGGCATCATGAGCAAAGCTTGGTTTCTGCGCTTTTGAAGGTCTCTGTTGGTCACCTATTTTATGACGTTGAGTATGGAAAAAGTCTTGAATTTTGGATCCAAAAATCTGTACGAACCCTGAAAGTAAGCGCCCCCGCCCCTTATGGCGTTGGCTCGGCAAGAAAAACGTTCTCGTGACCGTATAATAAATCCTTTATTAAACTTCTTCATTGACCAAGCTTGTTCGGTCAAGGTGACTGGAGATCGGCCTTGTATTTTTTGTGTGTGTGTGTGTTTTTTTAATGGACCTCGATTTCGCTCGATCCGAGCACACAAAACAATTCGGTCAATGTTCAGCCATCTTGACCTCACGCTTGGTCAGTGACGCATATATGTATCAACGCCAATTTACTAAGAATGGCCTGATCTTTCTAAATGTTACCATACTCGTATATGGAAACTGTTATAAATATTTTCTCTGACTTAGGAAAGCTTTAAACTTTCTGGTCATCGTTTTCGAGTTTGACATGTAACAAATTAGTACTAAAAATACAAGTTGTACCCTGTAACAGGGGCTCTCCTTGTAAGCCCAAATGGGACTTTAAAAACTTAATTTTATTTATTTGCTTATAATGACGTAGAGGGGATTGCGTGACCATTGTATCAGGATGGTAAAGCTTACTTGACCGCTTAGGGCGAAGTCGAAGGATTGCTATCTGTGCCCCATAACTGTAAAAGCAAATATAAGGATATGTGCAATTTAGAATTTTATGGTTAGGGGAGGGGAAGGTCGGGAATATCTTCAGAAGGCACGCGAGAGGGGACGCGTTCTTGCGTGGCTCGGTTCGCTCGACACTCGAAATGGATAGCTTGCTCTCAGGCTAAGAATCTTAAGCTACGTGAAAACGGACACAACAACTCCCGACAATGTTGGGAGTTGTTGGCCAAAAATGTTGCGTCCGTTTGCAGGGGGCTAAAAGTTTCACCGGTTTCAAACTTTGCGAAGCAACATGCAACAGGATGTGCAAATGGACGCAACATGTAACTTCCAACAATGTTGGGAGTTAATGATATATGAAATAAATCATATATGAACAGCGGAAATGAAATGAAAATGAAGAAATGATCGTCGCAGTGAACGCAATTTGTGCAATTGCGTAAAGAAGCCTGAAAAAATTTCAGGACTTCAACGGGGTTTGAACCCGTGACCTCGCGATTACCGGGGCGATGCTCTACCAACTGAGCTATGAAGCCACTGACGTTGGGAGAAGGTCAATTGTGGGTTCATATGTTCCCGTGAAAGAAATGAGTGTTAATGATATATGAAATAAATCATATATGACCTGCGGAAATGAAATGAAAATGAAGAAGTGATCGTCGCAGTGAACGCAATTTATGCAATTGCGTAAAGAAGCCTGGGAGTTGTGGGCCGACAATGTTGCGTCCGTTTGTACGGGGCTTTATAGGGAAGATATCTGTTTACAAACAAACCTTTTTGTTATTTAAATGTGCCAAACTCTGAAACAAAAAATCTTTTGTTTTAAGAGCCAATAATTCTCTGGTTGGCACATTGATATCAATCGGTAGGTGACGTCAGCCATATCTACGCTACACTGATCCTGAAGGGACATCTTTTTGGCTTGACCGTAATCTCTTACTCATTTGTTTCATCAGTGCCTGGGTTGCTTTACCTTACAACTTTACGTCTTGCTCTTTCCTTAAGACTTTAAAAGTAAAGTTAAGGTTTTTTTCCGTAAGAAACATTACTATCTTATCTGGAAAATAAAATTAAGTTATCCAGGACACACTATAAACTTATTTGCACTGAATGTCGTATAACATGCTGTTTTTATGACCACTTTGTTATCATTTCTTGTGGTGGTGTAGCATTGTATGAAGGTCTATGGCCTACTGATATTGAGTCCATTTTAGTTCTTATAATAAATTTGTCCATAAATTGATTGTAGTGTTGTTCTCAGTTGATAGATCCATCGATCAGATGCGTCATATTGCCATGTTGGCACAGGGTCCACATCGAATGTGCTAATGATTGGATTCAACGTGGCAAGTAAGTCTTAAAATTCTCCTCAACGCATTCTTATCTGGTTTACGTCCATCCGTTCTTTTTTGCGTGAGGAAGTATTTTTTTTTTAATTGCCCGGCGGACAGGTTAGTTATAAGCAGTTAAATCATTTAAGGAAAGTGAGGGCAATGAAGTACTTGCGATTTTTTAAGTAGTCGCGGTCTTGCCTCGTTAGTCAAAGCATGATCGACCATAGACCACTGGCTTTTCATGTTTATTTTCCAAGCATAGTTTGATGATTTTCAAGCGGTCGGTGTGATGGTCAATAGACCACTTTCTCGTTTTCGAGATGGTTTCAATGTAAAAATAATGTATAATAACCTAGATAATGTACTACAAGGTAAAAAATGTGCATTATTTTTAGTCTACTCAAGGCTCCGGGTTATGCCTTATCTGTGCATTTAAATTGACAGAGCCTTCCACCTTGTTTTTTGGATCACTTACTAGAAATAACATTTGTGTAAGGTGCAAATCCACTCGCAAACTGGTGTTAACAGTTTATTTGGACGAAACAAACCAATCCGTACAAACAAGGATATATATACTTCGGACGAGTCCAACCAATCCGTACAAACAAGGATATATATTCGTTGTCAAGCGTTAAAACGTCGTTACTTCGGGTAAATCGCTCCAACTGATATATCGAGAAACTCCGTACAACAACCAAAAAAACTCATCACGTGATCTAAAAGGGCGGGAAACAAGAAAACAGGGAACCCAGCCGCATCAATTTGCTTACGTATCTGCAAGTGTAAGATTTGTGGCAGCACAGAAAGATGTAGATTGATTGTGTGCTTGGTGTCCTAGGAGGTTTCAAAGGGGAGAGCCTGAGGAAATACCCAGGCGTCGTAATTACTAACGTCTGACGTTCAGCTCAGTCAAACTCTTTGCTTAAACATCAGACGGTCTGTTATGTCTGATATTTAGCAATTAGGCTTCCGTATGATCTGAAGAAATGCAGATCTTGGAGGGTGTTATTGGCCGCGACGGATAACACTCACCGAGATCACTATAATCCTTCAGATGATACGAAAGCCGAATCCAATTTTTTTATATTCATTTAAAATAACTCAATATACTTTAAAAACAAGCTAAAACATGCTTACCTCGATCGATGTTAAGTTTTCGTCTGCATTTGCCTGTGTCTCGGCAAACTCTGGAGATAAAGAAATGCTTGGTATGGGAGATATTCTTCACAACTAGCTACACAACAAAACTCTTAGTCTAGTTTTGTTCTTGGTGTTATTCCATGTTTTTCAGAAACAAGTAAAAAATAACGCGGATAAGAGCGAACGACGTTTCGGTGTCATCTTGACGCCATTTTCAAGTTCAAAGTGATTGCTGATAAAGACGATAAACTGATAAAAAGTTTTTCTGGCTGATGATTAGAATATATGAAATATGCAAAGTCACGCAAAACGTTTTGCTCGAATTGAGTCCGATTGGTCGCTTAGAGAACGTGGTAGTTCCCTAATTAGCAACATTTCGTGCCCTAAACAATCGAACTTCTTATTGCACTTCTTAAGGACAGAGAACTGTTTGTCAAGATCTTTCGGGACAGTAGAGTGTTTATCCTTATAATGTTTGCCAATGGAGGAAGACATATTTTTGTGTTCAACCACGCGCTGAGTACCTCAGAGTATAACCTACATAACTTGCATCAAACTAGTCACATTGAAATTGGTAAACTACACACTGTTGGTTTACAGTGGGTGGTTTTTTCTCATGAACTTTAAGTACCTCCTGGATTTTGTGGCTAGCGAAAACTGATTGAACGACTGTGTGAATCTTCTGGCTTAGTTCTCTATGCTTTTTACGAACTAAATCTGCTGAAGCTTGGTCTTTAAATGGCAGGACTCACTATACGAACTGGAGGGCTCTCTGCGGGGGCAGGTTTCGGTGGCTGGTCTTCCGCCTTTAAAGCAACAGAATCCCTGATGGTACTAATGATAAGACTTAGCGGATATTTAAGCCAGAAAAAGATTCGTCTCAATCGGTCACACTCAACAGAAAAATACGACCAGCAAGCCGATAAGCGATATGCACGATCAAGCATGGTTTTCAACCGCCCACGTTTACAGCGCATATCAACATGGCTGTGGTTGTGGAGCAAAAGTCCCGTGTTGGTAGGTTTGACGTAAACTTTGGTCTCGATTTGTGGTGCTCTGTTCTGGCGAGCAGTGGCCCAAGTGGTGAGCCCATGGCGACTCCGTCGACCTATTCGTAGAGTTGCCCATCGAACTGGAACAGTTGGTCTTTAGTGGCTGCTTTTAGAAGGTCAACAAGGTCCACTTTGCTGAGGTTCAAGTGTTGTTGATAAAGGCTTTGTCGGCTAGTATCTGGATGGTTTCATCTAGGGGCACGTTGGCAAATAGTGAGGTAACATCGCACGACACAAGAATATCTTCGTTGTTGATTTTTAGTTCCCGAACTTCGTAGGCAAACTCACAGGTGTCAGTTATTGTGTACTGGTTGTTGGCCAACGGCTGTAATTTCTTCTCCAACCAAATCGCCAACCCATAGTTGTACGTTTGTGTGGGAGATGAGATGGGGTCACGTAGCCAAATGTTTTTTGTGGGTTTTGGGCAGCCAACCGGGAGCCTGTGAGGCGCACGGAATCAGCTATAGGTTTGGGTAGAATTCTGCGGACTATAGATTCCAGATCTTCTCCTTCTGTAGGCGGAGTGGATGGTAGTGTTTGGGTTTTGTACCCTCTAGCCTTCGGCCTCTCGGGATCGCTCACTCTGAATTTCGTTGTATCATTAATGTATGCCTCGCGTAACAAGCGTAGATATTCCGACTTATCCATTATGACTACTCCTGACCTTAAGTCCGGTTTTATGATGACAATATCGTCACGTCGTTTTAATTTGTGGATGGCTTTAAGGAGTGACTTTGCGGATTCGGGTCCTCTCCGATGGGTGTAGATAAGTGCTACAGATGGCAGGGTTGCTGTTGAAAACTCTTTAGTGTCATAAGGCAGATTAGGCTCGAGCTTCCTAAAGGCTTTTTCAAAGCTTGTCTTCACTTCATTGGAGGATATCCTATGTTTTCAGGTCGTAGTTAGGCTATTTCTTCTTTGCAAAACGTGTGAAATTTTCCGATATCTTTTTGCACCTCAACCAAAACAGCTGAGCTAACGCAAACCCTGCCCCAGGGTTTCTTGGTTTTCGTTCCTTTTTTCGTTTGCTGGATTACACAAATTCCTTCCAAATTTGGTCAATGCTAGCTGGTTATGAAGAATTAACGGGAGATTTGAACCAATCAGATACAGAAAAATGTTTTGAAAGAATAGTAAGAATAGGTCTTATGTAAGTGGCCGCAGGTCTTTATTATGGACGCCATACAGACCTCATGATTAACGCTGTTATACATTAAAAATAATCAATCTTGTGTTTAATTCCTTGCAGTGATACCTGTCCGGTATGTGGACATTCTTTGTTCGACCAACCAGCCGAGGAGTAAGGACTTCATCATTATGTATTATCATAGTTGTTTTATTATTCAATCAAAATATTTCCAAGCTCAGAATATGCCCACTTCTATGCATTTGCCTGCACTTCGGATATGAAGAATGTTATTGTAGCATATATTCTTCATATAGCAGTCTTCCCGAGTGTTTGAGGCAGTAGCTCAGCTATTTCGCCCTCGCATAACGTGTGAATTCTTCCGCCATTTTTCCAACTTTGCACTGCCAAAAACAGCTGAGCCACCAAGCCGCTTCGTTGCGTGACATCTGTGCGTCTTCTTTTCAGTCGATAAAATTACGATTGTACGATTGACTTCAATTGTAAATTAACGACAAACACCTTCCAAATGTGGTTAACGCTAACTGTTGATGAAGAATTAGGCCTGTCAGAAATGGACAAATATTTTGAGCGAATAATTATGTCTGTTGTTGTGCATAAATTAAAGTTTTAATTGGTGTCCTGTACGGTTAACATTATAACCTTTTGAGACTCAGTCTTTAATTTTTTACCACTACAAAGATACTATAAATATTCTATTGATCAAAAATATTGACTGAAATATTAACTGAACTTTGTGTTGGTTTACCGCCGTTTAATAGCCCGCGCGTACTACAGGGAGAACTCAATTAATTCGAGACTTAAGAGCCCTTAGAGTGTTTTCTTTAACCTTCCAACAAGGTTTTTTCTTGCCGGTAAACCGTCTGCCTCGTCCTCATACGCTGGCAGTAAGTTAAGGGATGCAAGTTCTAAACTGGGTATGTGGAAGGGGTACCATTTGATAGAAGGTATACGAAAGGGGTACCGTTTTGGTCAAAAATGGTATATAAAAGGGTTAGGGGCCGGACCTCGGAGCGGAGTCTCCCCGAGTAAAACGTTGTTGATTAGCCCTCGGGGCAAAAGGTAGGATAAGCCATTACAAAGTTCCGGTTAATGCTTTTATAATATCAAATTAAATAAAAACAAAGTGGTTTTCTGCACTAAAACGTAAATCGGAGAATAGTTCAGGGGATTATTAAGAATACTAGGGTGATTTGTAGATATATACGATAATGATAGTAAAAATAACTCACGTGTTATCTTATATAATAGTGTTATTTTTTTAATATTTTATTTTTCTATTTGAAGGGGATATAAGGGAGTTAATTGATATTCATAAACCATGCGAAATATTGCTGGATCATACTGGCAGTCTTGATTAGGTTGGGAAATGGAAACTTAATTTTGGTGCGCAGCTTAACAGGCTCCTGTTCTGGTCTATAATCACCGCTAGTTTACACTTGACAAAGGTTGCATTGGTCTGAGCGCTAGAAAATGTAAACCCGCCTTTAACCGGTCGCATATGACAAGATATGTCCTGAAACATGTTACTACAGTAATGATAATTATTACCATAGTGAAGAAAAAAAAAAGTAGATAGAAAAAAAAAGCATGAAGTAAAAACGCCCATCAAAAATGAAAACTGCTAGAAGACACCCGGGGTCAATTGCAGGGACATTTGGCAGCGACGGTTAACAGCGACCAAATGACGGGCAAACACAGACTTGTATCGAGAACATGTAGCAGAAACGAAATCACAATGTCCTCAAATAAAGAAATGTCGGGACAATCCACGCCCGTGTACACGAAGGTTCATACATGACACCTTTGCAACATTTTTTCCACGCAACAAACCTATCACAGATAAGCAGACTCAACAGATCCCTTGTCATGTTCTCGCAACCTGATCACCTGTGTCTCCTAACCCTATTAAATAGTTTAGTTTATAGTAATAGACCTTTTTAGCTTCTTTGTTTTGTTTTTACATTTCAAATCGGGTGATGTTCTCAAGGGAACTGACATTTGTTTTTCACAAATTGTCCATGCGTATGCACGTGGATAGGGTAACATTTTAAAAGCTCTCAGGGGTAACATCACATGATCTGAAATGGAAAATAATCATACGAGCTAAAACGGTCTTTTTGCCAATGAATTTAAATAGTTTATCTCATAACGATTTGCTAATAAATTTAAATAGTTTATCTCTCGACAATTTGCTGATGAATTTAAATAGTTTATCTTGTAACAATTTGCTGATGAATTTATCTAAATGTACACAACATCTATAAGGTGCTTGCGAGATGCAAGTAATTTAGTGTGTTTAGATTAGTGTCCAGTCTACTCCCGAGATGCGAAGTCCAGTCGAGCAGTCGAGCTTGCGAACTGTAACACCATATGAGTTCCTCATAGCTCAGTGGTTAGAGCGTCCTACCGGTACCTGGAAGGTCGTGGGCTCGATTCCTGCTGGAGGAATCGGATTCGAGAGAGTAATTCATGTAAGAGAGTGATGATCGCGTTACCTTTGACAAAGTTTGACGATTTCAGTTCTTTCAATTTTTGACAACGTTGATGAATTCTGTGTACAGTGAAACCCCGCCTTATAGCCACCTCGGTAATACGTTCACCTCGTTATTACGGCCATTTTTTTTCGGCCTCCTGGCAAAACGGTCATACATTTTCTTGGAAAAAAACCTCGTTAATACGGTCACCCGTTAATACGGCCAATTTTTTGGGCCCATTGGTGACCGTATTAACGGGGTTCAATTGTAAAGAAAAAGCGATTAAAACATTTTGGATGTTGATTAGTGTTGCACTATAAGGAAAAGTAGACCAAAGGTTACAGGAAACATGAAAAAACTTTGTCGAGGAGCAACGGAAACGCGATCACTGCATTGGTGAAATGTTAACCCAATCTGACTATGGGCCCGTGTTTTATTGGGAGAATCCCAAAACGGATTTGTGATTTCAGATGGATTCTTAACTACCAAACGACTGAGGGTCCGAAAACGATCTTTCGCCATGAAAAAGTCACGTCGTCGTACTCCTCGTGATTAACAAAAAATGGAAGAAACAACAACAAACTGATTCTCGCGGCTAAGAGAAAAAGGAAAAAGCAACATAAAATACACACAAACGTTTCTCGGGGGCTAAAAAAACTAGAGTACACGTTACGATCGTAACATAAGAATATATAAAATTGAAGATGATACACGTTCTCTCTAATTATATGGACCATAAAGGTAAGCAAACAAAAGTATATAAGCATGAAAATGGTATGTACTAATGGCAACATAGCGCCAGGAACATAGGTCCAGTTATATTGCCATACATGTACGGCATCTGTTGTGTACCGTTTTTTTTTATTCGCAAAACCGCTCGCAAAAGTACTCTTTTCAAATCCCTTCCAAAGAAATGGTCAAATGGTGAATCTGGAATGTCCGGATTGGATTTGATCCGGAGAATCCACCCGCCGCCCGGTTAGCTCAGTTGGATAAGCGCCGGTCTGCCGAGCGGGAGGCCCCTGGTTCAAGTCCCGGCCGGACCAACACTCAGGGTCTTTAAATAACTGAGGAGAAAGTGCTGCCTCTGTAAAGACATCTGCAAACGGTTAGACTTTCTAGTCTTCTCGGATAAGAACGAGAAACCGTAGGCCCCGTCTCACAAGCCCTTGCATATATAAATTCTGTGGGACGTTAAAGAACCCACACACTGTTCGTAAAGAGTAGGGGACTTAGTCCCCGGTGTGGTGGTCTATCTCTCATTGGGGGAGGGACTTTTACGGGCCCGCAGTAATTGGCGTCATGCTGTTGCGGTGACCCTGCCAATAATTGGCGAATCTAATAAAATAAAATAAAATTTTATGGATTCATTATCAGTTTTTGGACTTGCCCAAAAAAAACGCAAAATCTTTTTTTGGATTCGGAAATCCGGATTTGGATGTTCTCAAAAGACGCACCCCAAGATAAACCTTTTTGACAAGTCTTCTACATGCTACTATTTGAATTTCATCATTTTACGAAATAACATTTTGAATTTTTCTTGATTTGCATCCTTGGTTTATCGTTAATCCGCTATTATGCCCCCACCCCCTCCCCTCTAATAAGGCCCCTGCCTTAGACAAACATAGTTATTAGGCACCCCTCTCTTTTAACTTCCTTTCTCACCCCCTCCCTTGCGTTCTTGAGTTTCGCAAGGAAAAACTAACATTTATCATTAATGACTGAAGCAAAGAATAATACAATTTGTAATAATATCGATCATAGCTAGTCATTTCCGTCCTCCAAAAGAGGAATTAGAGTACCGGTTATAGTCGTCATAACTCCAGTATGGTTCTTCCTCTTTGCCAAAGGCACCGATTTTAGCCCCCTCTCCATTAAACCCCCTTCATCAAAGCGCTTAGAAAAAAGGTAAGCCCCGGAGGGGGGTGGGGCTTAACAGAGGATTTTATTGAGGCATATGTATTCGATTAAACGCCGCGACCTTTATTTTAAAAATTGTTAGCGTTTCCAGTGCGGCGTTTAATGAAGGGTGGCGTTTATTTCGAAATCACTTTTTTGAAACTGACAACAGTTATTGTAAATCTTTTGTGAATATTATGTAATTTAAAGGTTTCAATGTCTCTCTTATTTTGCTGAGATAGAATCGTAAATGCCTGGATGGTGTAAGTTACCAAGTTGTACCGAGGTTTTTCTTAACAATATCCTCGAGTAAACGCCGCGTTTTTCTGATTAGGTGCGGCGTTTATTCGAGGGCGACGTTTATTTATAATTTTGCTTCCATCTGCGGCGTCGTTTAATCGAATAAATACAGTAACCAAGTTCTGGTGTAACAAAAAAAGAGGCTTCCAAGCTCTTTTTTTAATTATTTCTAACGCTGTACTGAAAAAGATGTAAGCATTTTGTCTAATTTAATAGAATAAAAAGCAAGATAAAAAGCAAAATAAAAAGTGTTGAGCTTAAACGAGAAGTTGAGCGAGGATCAACTTTTACGCTTATGAGCAACCTTTCATGTATTGCCTCTATTTTACTTGCGAACGTAAATTTTACGCACGTACGCACTTAAAAGTTACGCGACACTGGAAATCAACCCTTACTGATAAAATTAATTGTCTCCGTAAGTAAAAACCAGACGCGCTTGTTGCTAACTTATAGTACATGCAAGTGCTGTATAATGCGCAACTGTTCGCTTTATATGAAGTAAAAAGATCACAGCTGTTTTATTCAATGCGCGTTGTCGAGTAAAGAGAAAGCCGGTTGTTTGAGAACGTATTCTCAGCCGCTTGGATAACTATGACTAAAATCTTCGCGGTAACAGCATTAAAGTATCGGGAGAAGTCTACGCACGCGGCGGGTTAATGCAAAAAATAAAAGCAATAATGGAACTAAAAGATAAAGTTTTCAGTTTATCTTTACTGCATATGAAAATGCTTATTCTAGAAGAATAGCTCTCTTTAGCTCCTTTGACTATTCCCTTCGTTATCCTAGTGAAATTTCATTCTTTCCGGCAGATCAATTAGCACCTCCAACCCGCCGTGGTACCGAGTTCGTCAAGCCGCAGGTTTCCGATTATTCAAACAAGCTTCGGGTCTGTCTGGGAAGGTGTCACCTGGAACAACTAAAAGAACTATGTCCGGATTATGTTGCTGCTCACTCGCTTCGCTCGCTCCGCGGCAACAGCGAAATATAGCTGGGACGAATTCTCGAAGTCGTCACTTTTGACCAGGATGCATTGTATTTAACCAGAGTGCACTGCGCCACTTTTTACCAGAATGTATTGCCCCACGAACAACTCAAATAGTTTGTGCATCGTTCGCTGCTCAGACTCAGAGGTTTCTTTGTGGCAAATTTTCTACAACAGGGTAAGAGGTCGTACCAAATTTAAGACACGTAGGAGTCTTTCAGATGGATACGATCGTTAACTTAGGGATTGGATTTCAATTCAAGAGCCTTTGACTCGTCGAGGCGTTAAACTTGACGAGAA